GCAATTGTCACATATTTATTCAGGCAATATTTTTATTTCGGATAAAGCAATAATTATTTCATTAACTGCAAAATTCATAAACAAATATATGTGTTAAATACAAAGCATAACAGGGGCATAAGCTCAATATCTAAAGAGAAACCACTTAAGCCATTTAGATCTCAGAGTATGCAGGAGGTTTGTTTACGTCCGTTGCGAGGCAGGCAGGAGCAGACGAGTGCTCGCGAGTCGCCGAGGGAGAATTTCATATCTGAGATAGAACTTGTTTTTACACCAGACCAGGTCGGCTTTATAAATGATAGACACTTATAACATTTCATGAGAACAACGTACTTATATAATTTGTAATGAATAAATGTAAACACCAGTGTTTATCATTGTATTACATATATAATTATATTGATAATAGTGCTTACTGTCTGATAGTGGTAGTTACCTAGAGTCACTACTACTAGTACTAGTACTAGTACTACTATCATTTTGATTGTCTAATAATATTCTGTTGTCTGTACTGACTGAATGTAATCAGTCAGTATTAACTGAACTGGTTGTTGCAACCATAACTGTAGTTATGGTATAGTCTGGTGTGATAAATCAAATATTGTTACCTCCTCCTCCTTCTTCTTCTTCTTCTTCAGCATTCCGAGCCCTTGAGGTTGATTGCTGCAGACATCACCCATCTCCATTCATCTCTCTGGTTGGCCTTCTCTTTCCAGTTGGTAATACTAAGTGTGTGCAGGTCTGTAATACTGTAAGGATTTATAGAAATGTTATATATTTCGGCACTATAAAGCCAAAGAATAATCATTATCATAGTCTTTTTGTGGTCGTTTTTTTTTTTCCCAGTCAATATGCATGGGTACAGAGTTTAATATAATCTTAACTCCTTTCAATCCTAGCCTTTGATAACTTAATCTCTTTCTGTCATGGCGAGTTTTGTTTTACAGCAAATTAGTTTGGATCTGAAAGAGTTCAATGATAAAACACTGTTGAACACAAGCAAGTAGATTATTAGTTCTTAAAGAATAAGTGAATGTAAGAGCTGTCCATAACAAGGGGAAACAACTCAGAGGAGAAATTATATTTTTTGATCAAATCAGAGAACATATTATGCTTTTCTTGGTTCAGAAAGAGTTAAGATTTAGATACTCATTTTTCCGGTAGCGCACTGGTGGTTTACACGCCGTACTCTTGCTCTCCTCCCTTATTTCATGTGTGATCCAAACTTAATTGCAAATTAACACAGCCTGACACACGCTGTTTCATCTAACCAGGGATTTTTGTGTAATACAGGTGTGCATCATTCTGCAGTTCGAGTACCTCTTTCTAGACATCATTTTGTTTTCATTGTAGTAGACATTTTGTGGGATCCCGCCACGATGTAGTGGCTAGATGCTTGCCTGTGGATCGGAAAGTTGTGGGTTCGGGTCCTGGCGGTCCCGGACTTGTAAATTTAAAAAAAAAAATATCTTTGGCTGCTAGGTCGACCTTGCCTCACGTAGGTACCTGGTAGAGTCCTAGGAAGTAAAGGTGGTGTTTTCATGATGTTGACCATATCACCCACTGAATGTCCATTGGTCCAGCTATGTGTGTCAAATATGCCTGAAGGGCATTGAAAAGGGTCCTTCACTTTTTGTTTACTTTACTTTAGAAGACACTCTGTGGTGAGTACCATCACATTTTTAAACACTTTGTGATGAGCACTAGCACCCTTTAGACACTTTTAGTGAGTACCATCACATTTTTAAACACTTTGTGATGAGCACTAGCACCCTTTAGACACTTTTAGTGAGTACCATCACATTTTTAAACACTTTGTGATGAGCACTAGCACCCTTTAGACACTTTTAGTGAGTACCATCACATTTTTAAACACTTTGTGATGAGCACTAGCACCCTTTAGACACTTTTAGTGAGTACTAACAATTTTGTTACTAGAGAAGAAAAGCCCCATGTCTAACATTATAATTTCCAATAGAAATCCTTGTTATCATATAGCCGTTAGAATATACAGGAAAAGCCCTGTGTTTAACATTATAATTTCCAGTGGAATTCCTTCATATCGTAAAGCCTTCAGAGTATCTCTCAACAATCCCAACACATATTACAGCTGGTTAATTTATAACCAATTGTGTAACTGTTTTTTGTGGTTGAACAGGGTTCCTATTAATATTCTCCTGTCAGATTTACATAAGAAAAGTGGCTTTTTGAATCATGCATGTCAGTCAGTCTTTCAGGGTACACTCCTGGAGAAGAGAAATTTGTGTGAGAAAAAAAATGTCAGTCTTATCTGTTAAGAGTATTCCTATCATGGCTTCTTTTGTAGCTAAAAGTTTACTCATTCATTGCCTCACACTCCTACATATCCAGACAAATAAATCCATGTGAGTCCTTGTAATTTAGACATGGTGATAACTGGTAGCCACACATGCCATGTATGTCCATTTTAAACCTTTTACAGAACTGACTAAAGCACTGTGATTCCTCTGGTAAATCTATTTTCAGTTAACCTGAGCTGCAAGTGACTGCCTCCACCTCCATGCTCTTGCTTCAAAGTATAGATAAATAAGATCCATTTTGTTGTGTCATAACCTTCTACTTCACTGGAGCTGAGAAACCCCAGCCAGACTTCACACATCAACATAAAGAACCAGCTGTAGACCACCACGGTTTCTCCTGGATGTTCTTGTTTCCCCAATTTCCCATTTCAGCATGAGACCAGACAGCACTAGTGGAAAATAGACCCAAGGATCCATTGACAAACACCTGACCAGCAATAGCATGACAGCAGCCTGACCTGTCATGTATGTAAACTGATAGAAGACAATCAGCAAAAATCAACAACTAGTGCAATAACAGCCAGACTGATCACCATAATTATAACCAAAGTGGAATGGGGAGTATTTCTTCCCAGTACCATGGTTGAATGTGCTCATTGTGAAATGGAATAGGAATAGAACGGCACATGTTTGGTGATTCTTTGTTGTCTCTTCTCAGAATTTATCTTATATATCACTGTCTTCTATCTCATACTGCTGAGACCTGTCGTTACCCAGACATTTCTATTATTTCTTCACTCCTCTTGAATAAAGAGGCTAAATAAAATCATATAGAAAAAAAAATTACTTATATGTATTAACCTGTTTTCTAATTGTTTTTTTGCAGGGGGCATGTTAATCCACTGAAGCAGAGTACTCGTGAATTCATATTTTCAGTTAACATTCACGAAATGTCAGATGTAGTAAGGAGTAATAGTTTTTTTTTGTTTTCATTTCAATAGTATGTGTTCGCTCTCAAGATTTTTGTTTACCCTTCTTATAATCTTTATCTCCCAGTGGAGTATAAGTCCTCAACCAACTTACATTATGCTTTCCTGTCCATTGCTATCGTTTGCAAATCACCCCGCCCCCATCTTTGCACCTCATTCTTTAATTCACTTCTCCAAGTTAGGGTTGAATGTATAATGTTAACTTATAGGCAGTGTTATGAAACAATTTAACTGAGTAATTTATGTAAGTTATTTATATTTAGTTATTTATTAGGGTGGTTATTACATAGAAGAATGTTAAGAACTTTATGGAATGAAAGAAAACAAATGAGGTAGTCCGCTTTGAGAGAGGTAGAAACTGTTAACTGGTTAGACACATACAGTCAATGTAAGTTAGTATAAGGTAGACATAGACAGTCAGTGTAAGTTAAACATAGACAGTCAGTCAGTGTAAGGTAGACATAGACAGTCGGTGTAAGCTAGACATACAAAGACAGTCATTGTAAGCTAGACATAGACACTCACTGTAAATTAGACACAGACAGTCAGTGTTTTTTGGACATATGGAAAGGGAGTCGAGAACTTGGTAATGACTGGCAAGATTGATGGAAAGAGCAGGAAGAAGGCAAAGAGATAAATACCTGGATGCTCTAGTCATACTGATGGGGTGAGACAAAAGCACTGACCTGATTCTTATGGTCACGTGAGATTTTGAAACATGACAGCCTATGCTGATTGGTATGGGACATGATAAATATGTATAATCTTGTCAAGATCTTAAATATATCTTCTGTTTATGTAATCCGAGGCTTTAAACTAATGTACAGTTTCATTACCTGGCCACTAGAACACTAGTTTTAAAAAAATCTGTACCTTCTCCACAATGAAAGTTGGCTACAAAATAGTACTGCTATCTTTTTTAATGTTACGTGGTGAGGCCTCCATCTCTTCCACGGCACAAATTTTCATACCACCGTCTGAAAACCACGAGAACGTTTTTTTAAATTTGTTTGTTAAACTGACGATTTTGAAAACCGGACGCAAGAAACATGAAATTGTCAACCATCTTCCTCAACATCTAAGCCACAAAGCTGCACAGGGGCACTAATAGCAGATGTTCAAATCAGCTCCACAAAGACTTCATTTGATGTTGAAAATTCACTTATCATAAGACTCGCTTCATTGCCACTCTAGAGATGGACAGTGTATTATATTCAGACTCAGGACAACAGACTTGGTCACCATATGTTCAAACTTTTCGGTGTAAGAAACACTGAGATGTGTCCCTGCAACGTGGCACCCGAAAATGCTGAGCATGTGCTCCAACACTGTCAACTGTATGCTGACAACAGAGATGCAATCTGGCCTGTTTCAGTCACAATAAAGACAAAACTGTATGGTACACCAGAGGATATGGACTGCACCATAGCTTTCATAAAGGTTACCGTCCTCCTGACAGAAAAATTGAAGAAGAAGAAGAAGGAAAAATCAGCATTCCTCTATAACAACATGTGATGACAGAGACGGAACACATTTGGATGTGACTAGAGGGCAGTGAATTTGATTCTAGTTAATTAGTAGTATTTTATGTTTGTGTATGCATTAAACAGATTTATATCTCAGAATATACAAACATTTATATCTGTAAACTTTATCATTTTCAAATTTTATAATACCCTTCTAGTTTGATTTCTACAGCCTGTTTTTATTGTTGTTATTATTGTTGTTGTAGGTGTCAAGAAATAACTCAACCCCACAAATGCATAATCATAAAAAGTCATCCAGGAAAACTCCTCGCAGACCAGGTAGGACTGATATGGTTGTTTTTTTTACACACTCACATTTATACCCACCCACCTGCATGTCTTTGCATGTGCAGACATCATTGTTTCAGAATAATCATATACAGTGGATGAAATGTTAACTACCAACATTTACCTTGAAGCTTCTTCTTCTGCGTTTGCCCCTCAGATTTGTGGCTGGTCTGTTGCTTTGTAGTTTCCAGCTAGGCTGTGATAAATCAGCATTTTAGCCAAAAAGATCTGATATTAGTAAGCCCCTAATAAGTCACCTTTTACGACATGCCGGTTGTAACAAGGGGGCAGGGGATAGGGAAGGGCATGTACAGTGAACTGTTCTGAGTTGATTTGATTCAAGAACTGACATCACAGTACTCGGGGCATTCCCATTAGTGCTCTGTCCCTTTCTTCAGCAGCCAGTGAAGAAATCAAGTACTAATGGTGCCAGTAGCATACTGATTAAACGTCCGTCTTAGATTTCCTCTGAGCCTCAAGCATCTGCCAGAACCTCTCGTCACTTCCCCCCACATCAATCTCGCCAGACTGTGGTGATCCTCCAAACTGTACACGCTCTCCCACAAGGCACTAACTAATTCTCTCTTATCATGTATCAGTATTCCTCCAAGTTTTGCAGAGCCAGCCATTCTGTCCACCTGTTCATTTCTTAACACACCGGCATATCCCAGTGAGAAAATCCATACACTATTCCACACCCATGTCCTCCGCAGTGAAGCATGCCACTCTCCATGTCCTGACCTTCCTCAGCATGATTTGTGTGTATGTGTGTGTGTTGTGTTCTCTAACCAGCGGAAAGCTGCAGTGATCGCCTTCACCTCCATTCTCAAGCTGGGTGTTGTGATATCATATGTTAGGCTCTCCTGCACTAAACAGTGACCATTAACTTTTGCTAAGAAACCCCAAGCACTTCTTTTGCCTCTTGACACTGAACCGTCTGTGTAAATAATCAAATCCTCTGAGTTAGCATTATCTTGAATTAATTGCTGAATTTCTACCTCCGTTAACCTACTGGCCAGTCTCTGCATTCCCGGCTCAGTGTGATTATGACCCTACCCAAGTCTAAGTGTTCAGGTGGCACTTTGACCTACTCCTCTCCTTGCTTAGTGTTCTCAAGAACGCAAACTTGTATGATTGTGTCTTATATCTGAGCCATCCATGACTTCTCTCTTATTACCCGCTGACCCTTAACTGCACCCAGAGCTTTATGCAAAGGGTGATCTATGTCTGGAGGTACCTTGAGATATGACTTTGCCTGCAGCACCTTGTGCCTACCTGCAACAGTCGGCAAACCAGGGTTGTATTGCATAAACGCCACTGGGGTGTCTCTGAACTGTTATTAATTTCCTAAAATGGGGCCTCGGAACCCACATGGTATGCCGTGGAGCAATTTATAGTTAAAATGAGTGAAACAGAGTTGTATGTTATCTCCGTTGTCATTTGGTATAACTATTGACTGAGTGATGATAACGTATTGAATAGGTCCAAGTCCAAGGCCATATCCCCCCCCCCCCCCCCCCCACCAAATGTATTGAACAAGAAACACCTAGAAAATTATATAATTTTGCAAATATAACATTAAGAATTGGACTACAGGTGAGTTAAAAAAGACACAATATATTGAAGGAATTAGTAACAGAACAACAGATGTAATGCTGGAGACAAAAATAAAACAAAAAGTAATATTTAAGTATATGCATTTAGTGGCAATTGATAAGGTCAAGAAAATACAATGAAAGAAATTATTGTGTTCTGGACAATGTAACAAAAGCTTCTAAACATCTCAGATGAACCACATAATGAATGCAAAACTCAAATCCTGGAATGCAACAAAAGTCCATAAGTCAACATTGTATCATTTGTCCCCATGTGGAATGCAATTTTTGGTTATTTGAAGCCCCACCCTGGCTTTTGCCGGAGGGCCTAAATATAACTGGGCCTTAAATATGGCACAACGACTAAACAGGGTTTCTGGGACCTCTTCATGGGTGATCCTCTTCCGCATGGTGGCATTTTGTGTCACCGGGTATTTGTTGCTTTTTGTGATGTCCTGGTGAAGTACTACTTACATACATACATAAGTCAACAAACAACCAGGACACATCATCAGAGTTTACAGCCTGTGAATATGAAGAAAGTGAAGAAGGAAGATAACAAGGGAACCTGACAATGTTTTTTAATGAGAAAGGCCACGAGAGCTGAACTGGATTCAGTACATGGCGTTGAAAGGATAATACAAGGTGTAAACAAATGGAGAAAATTGCTATGATTCTTACAAAGTGTATAAATGTCACCACAGGGAAACAATGAATCTGCACAGGTAAATGCGATGTGGTTCTTGAGAAGAAAGTTGCGACCATGGACTGCCAGAATAACTAACATTCATTGCCTGGAAATGGCTAATGAAGACAAACATTGTTCTTTGTTAATATGATGAGAAAAGGAGGCACTGGAAAATATTGTGACAACTGGAGAGATCACTGGTAGAAGAGGCAGACCAAGAGAAATGATGGTGGATGGCTTAAAACAGTGTCATGAACGAATATCAACAAGTGGAATTGATCCAGAACACCAAATAATGTGATCTATGGTGACGCATAAACGTCTATGCTAGCTGGCAAGGCAATTGATGAAGATGACGCTGCATAAAAATCAGTTTGAGTGCTGGCCTCACAAATGGCCTTTAAGAAATAAGTCTGTGAGTTCTAATAACCGCAGACACAGTCACTTGCATACAGATACTGAGAGTGGCCTGTAGAATTATGTCTTTGCTGTTCAGTCATGATTAATTCATCTTGTTCCCTATGTGGGTTTTAAGACCTCATCTGGGGGTTGGGGGCAAAAGACTCACTGTCCCTTAAAAAAAGATGACTAAGTGTGTGCTGAAATGGAATTTGTTGAGCCTAGCTGTAAACTACAACATGATAAGCTAACCACCCTTTTGAGGGCAAATACAGAAGAAGAAGAAGATGAAGAAGAAGATCAAGAAGAAAAGAAGATGAAGAAAAAGTTAAAGAAAAAAGAAAAAGCTGTAGAAGCAGAAGAAGAAGAAGCAGAAGATGAAGAATGAGAAGAAAAAGTAACAGGAGAAGAAGAACAAGAAGAAAAAGAACAAAGACAAAAAAGATATTATGTTTCTATCTTTATTTTATCCCTAGTATCATTTTTTAAATGTATATTTTCATCCTCTTTTTTGTCTTGTGTCCAGCTGCTACATCTTGCATTTATAAATATCATGCTAGGATTTTTATCCTCATACTCTGTGTTTATCCCCCCAGTTACTCCTGGAAAGAGTAAGGCAACAGCTGGAAGAGATCTGTGGATGGCAGCCTTGAAGAAAAGACAAATGTGTAGGTTAAATATGATTGGTTAGAAGCATTTCCATATATCAGAAACCCAGTGCAAATAGTTCTAGAAATGTGTGGCTATCATCATATTCACTACATGTCTCACATGTTTGACACAAGTCCTTTAACTTTAATTTATTTCTGTGTATGTTATTTTTAGTAAAAAACAGAGATTTGTTGCCATTTTATTAAATTTATATATTGTATAAACAAAGGAACTTCAGAACTCCAGAGACATTGAGATAAAGGAGTCAGAGATGATGAACCGCCTGTTGGAGATGGGTATTAATCGAGGACAAGAGTGCAGAAACAGGTTGCGGGGCAAAGAAATAAGATATGCTAATCAACTCCTAGTAAATATGTTGAGCAGGGAGACACTGAAATGACTGCTGCACCAGAGGACGGAGCACCTATGGGTCGTACTGATGTGCTATGATGTCAATATGGACAACACTCAACACTCAGGGGAAGGATGAGATGTATATACAATCAGACGGTTACTGGTACCATTGGAATTGGAACTCTTCACTTGCTGCTGAAGATGGGGACTGAGCACTTATGGGAGTATCCCGAGTGCTGTGATGTCGATTCTTAACTCAACATTCAATATGGACAACACATAACAAGTAATTGTGTAAACAGCCAGATTGAGTTATATAGAGGCAGTTGTATATATCGATCACACTATGAGAGGAGAATTTTAAAAAAAGAGGAAAGTGTAACAGTTGGACACAGTTTTTGAAAATTAAACAGATGAAGACAGCAAGAGAAGATACATGATGACTGTTTGTCAAGCATGAAAAGGTATTGTCACAGGTAAAATGTAAGTAAAGGTCCTTAACATGCCAGTAGCGCAACAGGAATATGAGACTACACATATTTTTTATAGACTGGTTGACCCTCAGTGGGTGATATTTTTACTTCCCAAGGAATCAGCACAGTTATTGACACATTTTGTTAGAGATCACAGGATCTGGATAAGCATGATCTCCTATGCCAGTCAGCAAGGCGCTTGATGATGATGATTATGGTACTGTATCTGTTTTGCCTTCTTTGTTGCCTTTTAAAAGGGCAGTTGGCACATTTTGTAGTAGTTTACAGCTAGGCTGTAATATCTTCAGCTTTCTGCCGAACACATCCACTTTCAGCAAACTCCTAACTAATCACTTTAAAAAAATGATATGCTTGTTGGGGTGCAGTGGGTCTGCAACCCCCCCTCCTCCCACCCCCATCCAGAATTTGTCAATGGAACCCACATGGGTGGATAGTTTTGTATAAGATAATAACTTTCATTTAAGAATGTTTAATGGTTAAATAATAATCTTACATTTCAGTGCTTTTGCCCAATACATATCGCCCTGGAAGCCCACGACACAAGACCCCTACAGAGTATTTCATCGATACCTTGCGGAAAACTGGAGTTGGTAAGATAATATCCGTTTGACTTTACCACCTGTACCTTTAAGATGGTATCAACAATGCCAAGAGCGAGAGCACACAACCTGAAAATGGCAACACAGAGAGGCAGATGAAGACCTACCAGATTATGGACATTATCGCAGCATACCAGGTAGTCAAGCATATCCTGGTTTAGGACTTGGAAGGCAAGAACTACTAACACCAGAAATCACCCAGTGAAATAACGCCACCATTTGATGTCATAACCAGGGATGTGGGCCCTTCACAAGAAGTGGTTGAATGGGGCTACTTCAAACAAACAACAACAAAAAATAACCAGGCTTGACTGTTAAAACAGTGATGTCTATTGACAGAAAGCAGATATTACAAAGAAGAAGTAGACAGTAGGGCAGTGAAGTCCTCCAGCAGCAGCACAAGAAGGAGAAATGTTCAAAGAGTACATTAGGAATTTTTACTAAACAAAAGTTTTTCCAGAAAATATGAGTAATGTTCATCATCATCCCGTAACACTACGTGTCGTTGGGTCAAGAATTTTTCTGAAACATCGCATTTCTATTGCTTGTATCCTTCTTTCAAGTTCAGCTGTTAAGGTCCAGGTTTCACAGCCATATGTAAATGTAGTAATAGCTAGTGCTTTGAGCAATCGAATCTTAGTTTTGCATGAAATATTTTCAGATTGCCATAATGTTTGCTGCTTGGCAAGGGCTGATGTTGTCTGGGCAATACTAGACATAATTTCTGGTCTTGACCCTAAGTCACTTAAAATGGATCCTAAATATTTGAAGGAAGCAATGTTAGTAGTAAAAAAAAAAAAAAAAGATCATGTGGTTTACATCATAAGTGGATAAAATTGTCAAGAATTATTGATTAAAAAAACAACAACACAATGTCGAGGTGCTGGGTCTGATTCTAGCTGCAGTTGATCTGGCAGCAGATTCCATTGTGTTGGGCTTTGACAGTAGCATTAAGGGCCAACTGTTGAATATTCAGTGCTAAACTACTGAACCTAAATTTGTCTAGTAAAGTCACAAATAGCCAAATAATGCTGGGGTGGTTCTTCAGCATAGTCTAAAGCAGTGGTTCTCAACCTTCCTATTGCCACAACCCTTTGAGACAGTTCCTCATGTTGTGTTGTGGTGACCCCCAACCATAAAATTATTTTTGCTGCTACTTCAAAACTTCAGTGAAAATATGTTTTTCAATAGTCTTAGGTGAACTCTTCAAAAGACCCAAAATGAGTTGCGACCCACAGGCTGAGAACCGCTGCTGTAAATGATACACAACTTACAACTGTTTTTAATTTTTCCTCAATAACAAGAATATTTTGCACTGTCTGTGACCAGGGATTAGTGCAGAGACAAACAAAAGCCAGTCATTGACGGGACTGAAGGGCAGCAGTTTGCACTACCCATATCTGAGCACCTCTCATTACATGAGAAATGTCATGGGCACAGAGAAGTTTCCACGAACAGCTGATGATCCTACAGGTTTGGGCATTGAACCAGAATATATGCTTACATTGTTGTTGTTTTTGGATGTAACAGATGTACACTATATGATCATTGTGGTCCCAGTCCTGTTCTTAAAAGGAACATCAAGATGGTTATCATGATGAAGGTGATAGTTATATGTGCATCATCATCATCATCATCATCATGTGCCCTGCCAACTGGCATAGGCACTCATGCATCTCCACAGATTACGATCCCTTGTTGCCTGGAACAGCTCTCTTGATATCCCTCTACACTATCATTTCAGCCCATCCAGCATCATCTCTCTTTGCCTGCCTTTACCCCTCTTTCCACTGATCTTTCCAGTTGTCATAATGTTTTCCATTTATGCCTCTCTTTTCATTACATGGCCAAAGAACAGTGTTTGTCTCCTTCTTATTGTTGTATATAGAGATCTACTTTCATTAGCTTCTTTCAAACATCCAAGGTATTCGTAACATTCGTCTCAGAAACCACATCTCTGTTGCTTCAAAATTCTTCTTAATTTGTTAAGAGTTCCAAGATTTGCTGCCATATAGCAGAACAGTTTCTATGTAACATTTTAGCACTCTTTTTCTGACATTAAATGTTTTATGTGCATTTTGTACAATTAAAAAACGATGAATGTAATTAGTTAAACATGCAATTTATATTAACTTTAAATGCAGATGAGGAATAAAATAAGCAGACCTCGACAAATTATCGGTCATCTAGTGATAGACTAATTCTGGGTTAGAGTAAATTTTAAGTCTTGACAATGAGATTTTAAGGACCTATCTTTCCTCATCCATACTGGAACACCTAACAGGCAGGGGTGGAGTACACTCTTAACTTCCTGACTATGATTATATGAAGTTATGACAGAAAGATAGTTCACATCTCTTGGCAGTGGCAGTATGGTGTTCCTACTGGGAAGGACAGAGAGAGAGACATACAATCATGCTTGAACAAAGCTAGAGCTGCTTTTGGAAGGGTGAGGCAAATCTAGAAATTCAATAGTTACTGCAGAGGACAAAACTCCGACTCTACAAGCGCATCATTTTACCAGTTCTTCTTTATGAAGCAGAATGCTGGAGAATTACCAAAAAGGATGTACACAAACTATCCACCTTCCACCACACATATCTGCATAAAATTATCAAAATTTTCTGGCCAGATACAATTTCAAACACTCAACTACTTCAAGTCACAAACTAAGAACTCTAGACAGTATGTTAACAAAGAGAAGCTGGAAATGGCTTGGCTACATTATGAATCCTGATATACCTACCGGAACAGCTCTCACTTAGACACCAGATGGAAAAAAGAAAGATGGGGTGCCCAAAAACAACATGGTGACTAATGATGGAAAGGGAATGAATGCTGCATTTCTGACATGGAAAACTTCACTGAAGATTGCATAGGACAGGAAGGCATGGAACGTCCTCTCTGAAGCCTCATGTGCCACTAAGCATAAAGAGAACTAAAAAAAATTTGATGACAGAAAGATAATGGATGCAATTAATGAGCAGCTGAAGAGATTTTGGAACTGGGTAATGGTTTTACTGTGCTAGTTACATGGTGCTACTTTAGGCACAAAGTGCTACTTATGGCACAGTGGATAGATCAACTTGTCCTGTATGGGCACTTCCCTCACAGAAATAAATTGCAAACTACTATGTGTGTTATGCAAGAAAATTCATCTCTGTATACAGTTGCTGCGAACAGTCATTATGACCAACACCATGCAACATGAAAAATTGACATAGTAATAGTTTATAGAAAGATTTATTCAGAAGAAGAAAACAATTCACACAGTGAATAATTATGTATTGTAACAAAATTGTCCTTGTCTTCTGATTGTTATATTGACAAGTAGGGAGAATTTCATTTCTCTTAATGTATATATAACTATTCTTTTTCATTCTGTTTTACAGTAAGAACTAATGCAGGCACACCTGCATACAAGACACCAGAAGAATATTATGATGAAGTTCTGGGTCTCAGAAAGGTAATACAAATTTCTTTACAATGACTGAAGTATATGTGAGTTTGTCAGCGTCTGTGGCTTAGGTGTTGTGAATGTGCTTTTTAATGGTGGGGTGCCGGGTTTGATCCCACCTGCTGACAGTTTGTCTTGCATTGGTTTCGACAATGGTACCAAGAGCTGACTGTCCATAAAGCAGCGGTAAACTATTTAATGCAAAATTTGCCGAACAAAACCACAACAGCCAAAAAATGCTGGGGTTGGTTCTGCAACATCCTATAAAGGATGCGCAGCTAAGTTATATGTGAGTTTAATGATTTTAATATATATGAATAGAAGGTTGCAGACTATACTAATACTAGCTACAGTATATTAAATTTTTATTCTGTCTTACAGATCTGGTTTAGTTGAATGCAAACTATTGGTTCCACATCTCTCAGGCAGATACACTCTGACTTCAAAGGAAACACCCCTAATTAGTCACCTTTTATGACATGCTTGTACTGGAGCAGTGGATCTATTCTCCCCCTCCCCCCACTCCCCCCAAAAAATGGGAGCCTGGAAACCACATGGGGAGCATGGACTATATCTGATCCAAGATACTTATGATTAAGTAACCAACTGTGCATATTTACACAGTTCATGATGATGATGATACTTGAAACTATTATGCTATTTATGGCATTGTTGATGTAGGATTTGTAAAGACTGAAAAGCAAGCACCAATAGTCTGGTTAATCAATATCAGTATTTTATAATTTTCCTTTAGACAAATAAAAAAAAATCATTTTATTTTCTGGCTACCTTACTGGAAATTAGATCTGAAGCAATTTAAAATATAATTGCCTGACCACCCACTCTTTAATCAGTAGATTTATCCAGTGTTAGCTTTTAAACAGCATTTACAGATTTTGTGGTGTGTCATACCGGTTTCTTTCTCTATGGGTGTATTTTGACCTAGGTATAAAACTTAGAATTATTATAATTACTGCGAGTTAGTGAGTTACTGAGAGTAGGGAACATTATAATTGAAATTAACAGTCTCAAGCATTGTGAAACATCTGATTAACTCTTCCCCTTGAATAGTAGCCTAATTATCTTTAGATGTTTTCTTCTAGTTAGTACATTTGGTCATAACAAAACAAAGAAATCCAGCTTTCCTGGTGGTTACATCAGAAGTGTATTTAGCCTCTTTGGCTTGTCATTGTGGTTTGTTCCCCATTTTAGAACATGTACTGTAAAACCTCTAGAGAATAAAACAGTTAATTACTGAATTTTTATCTTCAGCAAATTGCAGCTTTGACCTTTGAGAATGCTACATGTAAAACAAAAATCAGAAGGTTGGAAGAAGAAAATGCTAAGAAGGTTTGTGAATTTTTTTATATAATAAATGGGAATAAAATCAATTCACATAGTACACCTTCTGTTATCTTATTTTCTTCTTTATTCTTACACATGATAAACATTGAATCGTTTATATTTTTGTGTATCTATTTTTACATAATAACATCTGCTCTCCTTTTTCCCTTTCCGTTTCTTACACATGAAAAGCTTTCTACCTTTTCCCTTTTCTGTAAATATTTAGCCTTCTGTTTCAAGTTGAGAAAGGACATCAAGGGTAAGTTTTGATATCTGTTTCATAAATGGTAGTACTTACTGCCTCATATAAAATTTTCCATAAGATTATGTAAAAAATATTGTATGAGTGTATTCCATAAATGATTTCTTACCATGTTTCTTTTATCTTTAAGTGACACAGCATCATGTGGGGATTTTTTTGTTAAACATAATTTTATTATCTGATCAGACCATTTAATGTAGTCTTAACATTTAATTAGGCCCTAATATCCTTCCTGATAGTCTTTCTGAGCTTGTCACTTCTCATTTTATTTAAATTCATTACAGTCATGCTGTTTTCTTTCAATTCTGTTTTTTTTTTTGTCTTTATTTTTTTCGAAGTTAAAATAAAACTAAGCTTTGTACCATGCTGTTTGTTTTGGGTTGGTAACATAGTTTACTTTTTAATCATGCTTTTGTTTATGCTTTATGTTTTAGGAGAAAGAAATTGAGAGTCTTCTCAATCCTGAAAAGGTAAACTGTACAGCTATATCTAAATTAATTAGTAAATTGGTTTCAGTTTTCTATGTAGTGGTGACTGTGTTCTTTGTAATTGCTTATTTTAAATATATATTTATTACCAAGCATTATTTTGTCAGTTGCACACACATTTCTGATAGCTAAGTCTGTCTATGCCATCCAAGAGCCACCTTACTTCAGCCAGTGCACCTTATGTCATCCAGTTACTTAGGCTTTTAGAGTGACCCAGCTTTAAATAGGTGCCAGGAAATATTATGGGTGGTAAAAGTATGTGTATTGACTGCTTGGGTAATTTGTGTCATAGTTTTATGTTTGAAAAAATCCACCTAGCTGATACCAGCTAAGATGAAGTTTATTTTAATGATTATGTTCAGAAAATATATGCCTTAGTAAACAACTAATATGTTGTATGTATCAATGAGACCCACCCATATGATGTGTGTACCATTGTAAGCCATCAGATCATTGTGACTTTACAAACCATCTTTCTATTATATGTACCACTGTAAACCATCTTTATAGTATAAGTACCATTGTAAATCATCTTTATATCGTATGCACCATCTAAAACTCTTGTATAAATCATTGCAAATTTAAAAAAATAAAAATAAAAGAAACAACACACACACACACAATAAAAGTCTATGGTTAAGCATCCGCAAGGAAATCAAAGTCAAAATTGTGAAAGCATGCATTTTCCCCATAGCAGCATATGAATGTGCGTCATAAACTATCTCTCTGTCATTAAGTAAGAAAATACGGGTTTTTCAGGTTGTTGCGCGCTGATTTGGGTAAAGTGTGATATTGTGTGAAGGGACAGTGGTAGGCTCCCAAACTGTTGTGTGCTAAATGAGACAGCACACTACCCAGTGTCTAAGCAGGTACTCTTCCGCTTCCTCTCTTAGAAATAGAACTCGACGACGATGACACCGTCATGCATGTTTATTTAACAAGATACATGACACAAATGCAGAGACGTAGTTATTGATCACAGCCAACATTCGCACATCGTCCATTTGTCCTCACAGCTCTCTATCTCTCAATTTGTAGCGGTCTTTCCTTGACTACTACAGCTCCAAGGACTACAGCGTCCCACACTCTGGACGCATCGTACAGCTGAACAGGACGACTTCTCCCATTCACTGGACCTTGATATTAATTTAGCATACAACACGGCTGACTGGAGACGGACTCCTCTTGCCGTACTCCGAAACCAGGTACTACTGGCCTTCCGTCCCCTGGACTTACTTTGCCAGCGGGACCATATTTTCAGTACTGCAACCCCGACACTCACTAAGACCTAAATGCCTGATAGTCGTACGGTATTCTAGTCGGTTAGACTTGCGAGAGATATCACGGACCCTGACTTGGTCTCTGACTCTCGCTTTCTCTCTCTCTTCTCGCTTCTCTCTCGACTGCTTCTCGATTACCCCCGAGGGGCTTTAGCCCTCAGGCTACAGCTCACTCTCCGGACCGTCTATGCAGCCCAATTTATCCCTGTCAAATCCCTGTAGGTGAATGATGTCTACACGAGAGGCACGCTTGTATGGGGTTTCTCGTGAACCATGATCCTGTGGGTGTTCTCGGGACTCACGCTCATGTGAGCGTTCTCGAGGATCACACTTATGTGGGTGGCTGATGTTACCTGAAAATCACGCTGTCCCTTAATTCACACTTTCTGTTTATCTCGTTATCCATGCTTTCAGCCACCACACAAAAACCCATCCATCCACTTTCTCTCGTGCGTGCACGCCTTGTTCATGAATAGACACTCTCACTGGTCTCCTCTCAATACTCGGACCATGTTGACACTCTTCCCCTCGTGAACTTACAGACAGTACTGACCTCCCACTGTCCCGTCACGTAATATCACACTTTACCCAAATCAGCGTGCAACACAGGTGAAATGGTATAGAAAGATACTTAAAATACTATGAACCAAGAAAGAAAGAAATACTGACTTATTAAAAGTTCTGAACATCAAGGAAGATTGACTAGTAAACATTGTGTCTCAGAAACTTCAGTATTTTGACAATATCAATCACCACATTGGAAGGTACAGTGGCATAGGGCAGGGTACCAGAAAAGTGGGGGGCAGATGGGCACACAGGATATTAGGGACACCTTGGATAGGAAAGTACAAGAGGTGGGAGAGTTGGTGAGAGACCAAGTTTCATTCAGGCTGGCTGTGACAAGAGTGACAATTGGCTACTTGATGATGACCATCATAAAATTTGAGGGAATGCCCAATGGGCAGTGATGTGATAACAGACATGACATGACATCATCAAGTTTCTTTGTTGTGTGTACTTTTATTGTACCATTGAAAAGCTTCTGCATCATATTAGCACCATTGTCAACCATTATATAGAATAAAAATAATTAAAAAAATTAATTAAAACAGATGTACTGATTAGCAGTCACAAACAGAAGTAGAAATACAGAAGGATACCCTAGACAATAACGACAGCAAAAAAAAAAAAAAAAATCAAAAGCTATAATGTCTAAGCTGGGAATCGAACCTTTCCCCTCCTGGCTAGTCACATTCATATGTTGGTAGAGGGAAAACACATGCTCTCAGAATTTTGATTTTGATTCCTTGCTGGTGCTTAACAATGGAATCAACTATGAATATATATAAATATATATTTGTTCTATCTATGTAGGTTAGAAACTATATATATATATTCTGTACAATTGAAGCCATCTACATGTTTTATTCACCATTGTAAACCCTCTGTGGAACATTGTAAACTATCCATATATCGTTTGCCCCATTGTAAAGCATCCACATATCGTTTGCACCATTGTAAACCATCTCACTCTTGTTTGCACCATTGTAAACCATCAATATTTTATATTTGGCACAGAATGCTGAGCTGCGGAGGACTATGGGAGATCGACAAGCAGACTCAGGAGCCATAGTGCACAGCTTGAAGCAGAAAATTCTGAAACTGGAAATGCAACTGAGAGATAAAGAGTCAGCTTTTTGGTCAGTTGATTATATAAACGGGGGTTATATATTTATACATAGAGAGTCGCCATGGCAGAGTGGCTAGACGCTTGCCGCAGATCAGAAGGTCATGGGTTCGCTCCCTGGCGGAGCCGGACATTTTCAAAAATGACCTTGGCTTCCAGGTCGACCAGCTTTGAGTGGGAACTGGGTGCAGTCCTGGGAAGTAAAGGTGGCCAGCGTGATGCTGACCACATAACCCATCTTGTGCCAATTGATCTATGAAATTTGGGTCTAGCCCTATGTGCCCTATACACCTAAAGACGTGGAACATGGTCCTTTACTTTACTTTTTCATATATACATGTGTAAATCATGCAGGGTGTCTCATAAGTTCCTGTACATAAGAAAATGAAACATTTTTTAATGAAAACCATTCCACAACATGTATAAGCACAGCTGAAGTTAGGCTTGTTATAGCATTGGGGTGAAATGCTTATTTTTCTTATGTTTGGAAACTTATGGGATGCACTGTGGATAAGGATTAGGTTCACTCGGTTTTTATCTCATATGGCTCAATTCTAAACAAGAAAGTTATTAATAGACCAGCTGGATACCTGCCAGATGTATTGCACTAAGCATGAACTTCAGAGCTCCAGTGATGACCTCAAAGTATCTGCCAAACACCTGCACTCATAAACTGAACTGTGGTTCCGGGGCCCTATTTGGGGAAATGGGAAGGGGGTGGAGAATTAACCCGCTGTATCCCGGTCAAGAATGTCATAAAAATCTACCAGATAGGGTTTCCTTATGTTATCACAATCAAGGTCTTTGCACATTAGACATTCCCATGCTTGCTTAATCCTCCCATGCAGCAGTTACTCCAAGATTGCTCTTAAACTGTCAGAGTGCACCTGTCTAAAAGGTTAGGAACCAACATTCTGCACATAAACAAAATCCAGATCTGTAAAATGAAAATGCATGCAAAACTTAACTTCTGGAACAAGACTAATGTCCAGAAGTGGATAAACAACCAGAACTTTCTGCCAGAGTTTACAGCTGTTGAACATGAAAAACAAAAAGAAGAATCATTTTAAATGATGTTTATTTTCTGTACTAGAGGATCATTTCAAGTATAGTTTTCTCTGCTCTTACAGTTTCTTAATCTGCTTAAGCTGTGAGGATATAGTAGTTGATAAACTTAATTACAAGACAGTGGGCTCAGTTCATTTCACTGTAGTTGATAAACTTAATTACAAGACAGTGGGCTCAGTTCATTTCACTGTAGTTGATAAACTTAATTACAAGACAGTGGGCTCAGTTCATTTCACTGTAGTTGATAAACTTAATTACAAGACAGTGGGCTCAGTTCATTTCACTGCAGTTGATAAACTTAATTACAAGACAGTGGGCTCAGTTCATTTCACTGTAGTCTTCTTCTTCTTCTGCTTTTCTATCCTCCAATGGAGCATAGGCCCTCAACCAACTCACGCCAAGTCGTTCTATCCTTCGCCATTGCATGGAGCTCTCCCCATGTCCTCCCCATCTTTCTAACTTCATTCTCCAGCTCTCTTCTCCATGTGTATTATTCCTTTATTCCTATGCCCTTGTGGGTTCCAATGCAAAGACATTCTTGTTCCACTGGAGCCTGTTTAGTTCTCTCCCAAAGCTCTACATTAGTTATTCTATCATACCATTTAATTCCCTCTATTCTGTGCAGGCACCAGTTAATGAATGTCTGTAATTTATTAGTAATTACTTTAGTTGTTCTCCATGTTTCCTCCCCATACAAAAGTGCAGATTTGACATTAGAATTAAAAAATTTAAGTTTAGTATTTTCTTTTAATTTCTTTTGACCTCCACAAATTCCCTAGTGCTATGAAAGCTTCTCTTGCCTTTTGTATTCTTATTGTAATATCTCTATCAGTTCCTCCATCTTTATCTACATTACTGCCCAAATAGGTGTACGACTCCGTGTCTTAGAGTGGGGTACCATTAAGAGAAACCACATTACTATTTGCCTGGTTTATTCTCATTATCTTTGTCTTTCCTTTATGGATTTTCAGACCATGCTGCTGTGATCTCGCATCTAGTATATTTAATTTATCTTGCATCTGATTCCGTGAATGGGACAGAAGAGAATTCACTGCAATGGCAGGATAAAAAATAAAAAAAATATTTTTCAGCTCTTCAGTTTATTCAGCCTAATAATGTGTGCACTGAATCAGTTTCAGAATTATTTGTTGATGGGAAAAAGTGAGGAAGTAAACTGGTCAACTCACCAAATTTTTCTGTTGCCTGGAATAAGTCTGTTAAGGTCTGAAACTTCACAACACATTATCTGTCATGATCCTACTTTTACCTGCTGGTGAAAATATGGGGGTGACTGCAGTCAAGCTTATACAAGGATTTCCAGAGACATTAGACTAAAAAGCTCAACAAAGTGGGGAAGCAGAAAAACGTGAACAAAACAACACAACATAACATTTCGACTGGGCAGCCTTTTTTAAACATAAGTGATTTTTTTAAAAACGTTGCTCACGTCACCCCTTAGAGATCTACATACTCTCCTCTCCTTGTTGTGACATTTGTGTAGTTCATTTATGTTTGAAAAAGGCTGCCTGGTCCAAACGTTACGTTGTGTTGTTTTGTTCACGTTTTTCTGCTTCCCCATTTTTTGAGCTCTTCAGTCAAATTTCTCTGAATTCCTTTTACCTGGTGGAGAGTTTTCTGGTTTTTTTTTTGGGTTTTGTTTTTGCATTTGTAGTGTAGAATTCAGCTGTTAACCATCATCATCATCATCATCATTTGCCAGTAGGCATAGGCCGTCATGTTTTACCATCCCATACGATCACTGGAATCACAAATCAGGTCAATGTTCTTGTCTTGCCTCTTCCATATGGCCTATCTATCCAGGTAAGCATCTCTTTGCCTTTTCCTTGCTCTCCTTCCATTAATCTTCTAGGTTGTTACCAATTTCTCAAGTTCATTTGTTATCATAACATGTTATTGTAAAACAAAATTGACTGTCTATACCCAGTTTCTCCAGTCAGTTTATGCTTTCATCTTTCTTGAAGAGGACTACCTTATTTTTTGTCTATCATTTAATGATATTCTTTGCATTCTTCTCAAAAACCACATCTCGGCTGCGGATAAATGTTTTCAACTTGTCTGTTTATTGTCTATGTCCAACATGCATATAAAAATACATTTACACTATTTACTTGAATATTTGTGAGCTGCATCTTGAAGAAGACTGTTCATCACCAAAAGCATATGTATAACATCACATTATTAACATGTTTCAGATCAGATTACGTTTCTTTTAAAATACTCAGCTCTCAACCTACCTTCAATTATTTTCTCCTTTGTCTACGCTCCCCCCCTCCCCCTCCCACTCTCCACCCCTTGTATCCTTCATTGCAGTTTTTCACCTCCATGCAGCCTAATTCATGGCATTTTGTTCCAATGATTCCAGCTTGGTCTGTTCCTTCTTCTCATAGAAAAGTCCGGCTCCACCAGGGAGCGAACCCACATCCTTCCGATCTGCAGCGAGCGTCTAGGCGCTCTGCCACAGCGACTCCCCACTGGCTGTGTACTAAATTTTTTTCTGTTAATGCCTCATTCATGATTGCATTTCCTCTGGTCACTCCCGCATCCTTCTCAGACATATTATTCCTATGGTTACTAATTTTTCTTTTCTGCTCTGTTGTGAGTGAGCATGTTTGGCCGTAGTAGCATAGAGTGGGAATGAAGGGCTGCTTTGCTGAGCAGATTTCCATCTCAGTACCTGCATCATTCATGTGCCATTTGCACACAGCAACATTGAAGTAGACACCAGCTCCAAGGTCTTCTGTCCATCTGTAATTCAGCATTGCATATGCCCTAATCAATTTTACCGTCCTCACTCCTAACAAGTCAAATGATTGTCTTCTTCTTCGTGTTCATCAGATGTAAGTTCTGGTTGTTTGTCCACTTCTGGACGTTAGTCTTGTTCCAGTACTTGAGTACTACATGGACATTCATTTTACAGATCTGGCTTATTTGTAGACAGACTGTTGGTTCCTTGACTCTCAGGCAGATGCACTCTAACTTTGAAGGAGATTCTTAATTAGTAGACTCTCACGACATGCTTGTTAGGAAAGCAGTCGGACTGTTCTTGTTTTCCTCCACAATGAGGCTACAGAACCCACACAGGGAATGTTAGTGGATACAAATGATTAGTTAAAAGACTTCAAAATGATATGTTAATTTATGTGTTTTCTTTCTTTGTTGTCAGCAAGCTACAAGCAGATCTGAAATCAACCAAAGTTGAAGAGATGAGGGTCCAGCTTGAGGCAGTATATGCTGAACTGATAAGGTTGCAGTTATCCAAGGACTCAGGGACGCCTGATAAACCTAAGTAAGACAGACTATTCCTGTACTTAGTATGATAAACAAATTATAATTTAGTGGTGAGGCACAATCAAACTGCATGTGTAAGCATTAGCAGGTAATGATTACAATGGATAGGGTATCTGGTGATCTTTTCCTTCACATTTGAGAGTATGCGTGTGCAGCTAGCATTGTAGTACTAGAAACTGGTAGTTTTCACTTGTTATAGTTTCTGCATGAGAGACCTAAGCATGCAGAGAGCATTCTTTTTGCTATTTTTGAGGTGTAAACCGAGTGGCATAATTGTAATAAATAGTAAACAGGAATAATAGTAAAAAAAGTATAAATAGTAAAATAAGGCATTTTTATTTGGCATTGAAAACTGTGAGTGATGATTACAGCCATTACAGGGAAGCCTAGCCATTGTTTCATTCTACTGACTGGCAGTCAGTTGCAGAAGAAAGTAGTAGGGGTAGCAGAAAACACTACAACATAGAAATCAAAGGCTAGACTGTCCTCCTGTCTGCACTTCTACTTCTGCATCAGTGAGTACCAGTCAGAATATTATAATTTATTATAATTTGTTTATAATACTAGTTCAGTGGCCTCAAGGACTGTTTAGGATTTTGAAAAAAATTGTCTTTAGTTATACAGCTTCATGCATCAGAAGTTCCCATTATGCACCTTCATGCTGGTCAACTCCCAAACTTCTTTCAGAACCATGCCTTCCATTATTGTTCTTTCTAAATCCCTGAGGTGTTTACCATAAGTATTTCAACTTCTAAGCCGTGAGCCAGTTTCCCTCAATGCTCAGATTCTATAGAAATGTTTGTATCCATGCCATTCTTATTTATTTAAAAAAAAAAAAAAACAACAAAAACTGTAACATTCTAAAGCTCAAATTTTCTTCTAAACAATATTTTATCAAATTCAGAGTAATACGGAAAAATTAATTATATTTGGTTTATGAATGTAAATAATGACATATCCTTTTAACTTTCCATTTACTAACACCTGTAACATTTACGTGAAATGTCTTCTTTAAACCTTAAATTTCCAGATCCACAAATAACAATGCTGCCAAAATCAAAGCTTTAAATGAAACTGTGATTCGTCTGAGTCGAAGCAATGAACAGTTGCAGGCTGAAAATAAATCTTTAAAAGAAGATTTAGACAGAGCCTTACAAGATTCTGTTGTTCATGTTGATACAAAAAGTGAGTAATTCACTATTTATATTTAGCACTCCAGTGTACTATTGGTTTTACACAATTTGGACAGTTGTTTCTAATTGTTTAAAGTTTGGCTTAAAATTGGGTTTTTATTATCTATTTGCATTTATTCTTTTATGTTCCACCAGATAGCATAATCAGAAGGAGACGGTCTGTGTTATTCTGTCATTTAATGGCGTAGGGAAAATGGGTGAAGAGAGGCAGAGGAAGACCAAGAGAGAAGATGTTGGACAGTTTTGAATCCTGTCATGGAAGAGTATCTTTATCATAAATAATTGTCAGTGCATAAGAGAGGTGGCTATGGAAAGACGTGATTATCAGCCTCCCATTACATGGACTGTAAGAAGAAGTAGCTTGTGCTAGGAACCTTTTTATGAAATAAAATCAAGCCTTTTAATTTAATTGTTACAGAAACATTATTAGAATACTGTGAATAAATTATTGTTTTTTCTATTTTGTTATTATTAACTTTCTACCAGATCTGAATCTTGAAAAAAAAAAAAACCAGTATCATGTCTCAGAAAATAAAATCCTTTGACCACATAAATGTTTCACAATTTCAGAAGAAACAGTGATGTTAGACATTGTTCCTGGTTTAGAAAGCAGGAATTAAAAAGTACTTTTCTGTTACTAATGTTGTAGACTTTAAAAATATTGAAATTTTGTTTCCAGAATGATAAGTCAAAATTAAAAAGTGAATCAATTTTGCAGAAGTCTGGAAAAAAAAAATTATTATGTTCTTAATCAACACCACTTCTAGAAATGGGAAAAAAAGAGAAAGCAGTAGTTTTGTTAGGCAGTTGCATTGAAATAGATACTGTGGCATTTGAGTTTAGCTATTCCTTCTACCAAGCTGCAAAGATGATTTGGGAATAGTTATAATGGAGATACCAGTATCATTGAATAATTTCAAACTGTTTACTCGTTTCTTTCAACAGTATCTTATAGGGCGCTATGTATACCTTTAGTATTTGTTTGCTTTCTAGCACCACTGCTGTAATAAATTTAAGTATATTTAGGGTATCCTGGGATATAAATGGCCTAGATTTAAGATCTTTTTTAACAGGTTTTATTCTTCCTTCAGTTGTAATGTTATTATGTGGTTTTTGTTGTTGTAGCTGGTTGCTAGTATGTTAAAATCATGGAATAAGAATCAAGGAAAACAGACAGACTGCTAATAGGTTAAAAGCTGGCAGTCAGAGAAAAAGCACACAATGAAGACAACATTAAAGCAAAACGGTCCTGAAATCCCCTTCTATAATGTGGACGATTTTTCGTAATTCCAGCAGATCTTGCTCATCACACTCACCAATGGCATAGATAGTGGTTTCCATGCTTTTCTCTATAACATGATATAACACTATTATCTGGAAAGATGGAAATATGCCAACAAAGTATGTTAAAATCATATTAAATTCCAGCAATTTTAACTTTTATATTTTTTGACCATGCAGAAGAATACGAGGACATGAATAGACCAGAGTTGCTGTCAGTCATTGCAAACCTTGAAAAGGTCAGTTTGTCATCTGTGCTTACCTTTATTATCTGGTTTATTATTTAATGGCTAGCGGAAAGGATTTAAATTTACTCATGTTAACTGTTAGGACGTGTGGTAGCACAGTTAGCAACATGCTTGCCTATCAGCATGAAAATAATATTTTCAAATCCCCTTTGAGGCAGGGATTTTTTCCAATTGCCTAGATACCCATTTAGACTTTGCCTAATATGGATACCAGGAAGTTTTCTTGGAAAATAAAGTCAGTATGATATGCTGACACCTATAGCAAATGTTGGGCTGTCACAACATATCCAATAGCATGTTAGCACAAAAAAGATCCGTTAGCTATACTACAGTAATGGTCTGACTGACTGACTTTCTACCCCACCAGGACATCACACAAGCGATAAACACCTGATGACACCATGTGGATAAGGATCACCCATGGAGAGGTCCCGGAAACCGTGTTCAGCCATTTGACCATATTTATGGCTGGGCTATATTGCGGCCCCTGGCAAGAGCCAGATTAGGGCTTCAAATAACGAAAAATTGCATCCCACAAAGGGGATGACTAGTATACTACTCAACACTAATGGTTCAGATCAGTGGTTCTCATTTTGTGGGCCGTAAACCACAAAATTTGACCACAGAACAAATTGAAGGGGTCCATAATATCAAAAAACCTAACCCCACTTTTTTTTAAAACATAGATTTACAATTTTTTGTTTATATGTCTTTTAAAAGTGATAGTGCCTATGAGAAATAAGAGGGGAGTCTTTGTGTTTTATTAGATTGGGAACTATTGGTTAAGATCAGTGGTTCTCAAACATGTTTCGCCGTGACACCTATGTTATGCTGAAAAACACTTTGCGACACACCTACCCTTTTTCCCCATACATTCCCACAACATATTCCTGTAGACTCTATCGAAGGCTTTTTCCTGGTCTATGAATGTCAACAAACATATCTTATCATGTTCTATTGTTCTCTCTGATAGCTGTCTCAATGTATAAATGGCATCTGTGCAACTTCTGTTTCGTCAAAAGCCCATCTGTGCTTCTGTAATTTGATTCGCTATCAATGGTCTTACTGCTTTAGTGACCATGTTCCAGTTGTAGGAAAAATTTGAAAAAAACTAACGAACATTAGAAAAACACCACAGAACATCAAGTTAAATTTAGGAATTCTTAGAACGGATAGAGAAATTATGGACCAGTACAATGTCACTGTACAAAACCGGTATAATGCAATGGAAATTATACAGACTATTGATGAACAGTGGGATATGTTGCGTGAGTCAATTCAGCAGACATCTAAAGAGACAATCCCACCAACCCATAGAGTTACAAAAAAAGAAATGGATGTCAACCGAAATTCTGCAGTTGATGGAAGAAAGAAAAAGAATGATAAAGAAGAATACTCTAGAATACAAAAAGATATAGTGAACAAATGCAGAGTGGCTAAAGAAGCCTGGCTGAATCAAATGTGTACAGAGATTGGGGAAAATTACAGGAAAGACTCACATTCCATGTACCAACAGATAAATATGTTAACAGGAAAGATGACACGTAACAGCACTGGATGTTTGAAATCAAAAGATGGTGACTTATTAATGGGACATAGTAATATAATTAACAGATGGACAGAGTATATAGGGGAATTGTATGATGATAATAGACCAGACGTAGAACTGCATACCAACAATGATGGTCCACCAATAATGACTGCAGAAGTTGAGGATGCAATACATCATATGAAGAAAGGAAAAGCACCCGGGCCAGACAACATCTCACTGGAAGAAATCGAAGCACTGGGAGATTTTGGAATTAAAATAATAACTAAACTTTTAAATGATATTTATAATAGTGGGTATATTCCAAATGACCTTTTAAAATCCATTTTTATAGCTCTGCCTAAGAAACCAGGCACTATAAAATGTGAAGACCATCGCACAATAAGTCTTATGAGTCACATGACTAAGATTTTACTGAGAATAATTATGAGAAGAATAAGAAACAGAATTAAACCAGAAATCAGCGATGAACAATGTGGATTTGTAGAAGGAGAAGGTACAAACAATGCCATATACATCCTAAGGACATTGTCAGAAAGAGCTATAGAAGTAAAGACTGATTTGTACATATGCTTCATAGACTATACAAAAGCATTTGACTGTGTGAAGCATGAAGAAGTAATCAAACTGTTAGAAAAATTAAACATTGATTGAAAAGATCTACGAATAATAAAGAATATGTATTGGCAGCAAACAGCAGCTATAAGAATTAACAACTGTTTAGGTACATTTCAAAGCATAAAGAGGGGCGTACGACAAGGATGTGCACTGTCACCTGATTTGTTTTCAATATACAGTGAATATATAATGAGAGCTTTAATTGATATGACCGGAATCGTGGTTGGTGGGCACAATATAAACAATTTACATTATGCTGATGACACAATCTTGATAGCAACAAGTCAGAAAGAACTACAGGAAATGATAGACATTGTGGTGTTAGAAAGTGGAAGAATGGGCCTCAGTTTGAATAAGGGGAAGACAGAAGTAATGGTGGTATCAAAGAAACAAATTATTCCTAAGTGTGTAATAAAAGTTGATGGTGTTATTTTAGGACAAGTACAGAAATTTAAGTAACTGGGCACATGGATAACATCAGAGGGAAGATGCATAACTGAGATAAGAAATAGAATAGGACAGGCAAAAACTGCATTTTTTTAAATGAAAAACATCTTGTGCAATATATCCTTGTCATTGAGAGTTAGAAAAAGAATTCTTGCTTGCTACATACATCAAGTTTTAACATATGGCTGTGAATCCTGGACAATCGGTAGGCAGGCCAAACAATTTCTAGAGGCCTCGGAGATGTGGTTTTACAGAAGAATGCTTAGAATACCTTGGACAGCCAAAAAGAGCAACCAAGAGGTTTTGAAAGAGGCGGGAGCCCGAAGACAACTTATCACAGACATCAGAAGGAGATAGTCATCATTTTTCGGCCATGTTATGAGAAGAGGGAAAATAGAACATGTTTTGACCACTGGAAAGATATGTGGACAGAGAGATAGAGGAAGACAACAAGAGAAGATGCTTGATAGTCTTGTTGCATGGCATGGAGGTGTGTCAGCACATGAACTGATACATGCTGCAGGAGATCGCAGATTATGGAGATGCATGATCGCCCACGCCAGTCGGCAAGGCACCTGATGATGATGATGATGATCAATGGTCTTAGCCTTCTTTCAATGATCTTGGCATACATTTTTCCAGTGTGACTGAGAAGGGATATTCCTCTGTAATTAGTACAGTCGCTCTTACTTCCTTTATTTTTTCCATAGCGTGACGATGACAACAGTTTGCCAACCTGAAGGTGTTTCTTGTTTTTCCTATGCCACCTGAAATAGTAAATTATCTTCACTAACAGTAAACAACATGAGAGCAAATTATCTCCACTAACAGTAAACAACATGAGAGTAAATTATCTTCACTAACAGTAAACAGGATGAGAGTAAATTATCTTCACTAACAGTAAACAGGATGAGAGTAAATTATCTCCACTAACAGTAAACAACTTGAGGGTAAATTATCTCCACTAACAGTAAACCGCAAGAGAGTAAATTATCTTCACTAACAGTAAACAGCATAAGAGTAAATTATCTCCTCTAACAGTAAACCGCAAGAGAGTAAATTATCTTCACTAACAGTAAACAACATGTGAGTAAATTAACAGCATGAGAATAAATTATCTTCACTAACAGTAAACAACAGGAAAGTGAATTATCTTTACTAAAAGTAAACAACATAAGAATAAATTAACTTCATTAACAGTAAAAAAAAATTTCAAAGACATGAAAACTTTAAATATTATATTTTGTCTGCCGAGCAGTTAATTGTTTTATTTTTGCAGAAGCTGGAGCAAGTTGATGTGGATAGAACATCTCTTTATTCACAAGAGAGTGCACGTAGGCCACAAGGTACATTGTAATTTAAGATGTTTTATATTCAGTTTGAATATGCTAAAACTGTTTGCTAAATTACAATGTAAAACAATGTAAACAAGCATGCCAAGGTTTGTTGGTAACATCCTTAATTTACTGCAAAATCTTCTCTTTTTATGCAGTTTACAGAATGGGAACAATCTAGTTTGTACCAAGATATACTTCTTCTTCTTCCTTTTCAGCGCTCTAAGCCCTTTAGGTTCATTGTTGCAGGTATCAGCCGCCTCCTCTCATCTCTCTGGTTGGCTCTCTCTTTTCATTTGGTGACACCAGGTGTTTGTAGGTCTGCCTGGATATCATCATCATCATGTAGCAGTTCCTTTGCAGAACATCGCTCTCATCACAGTCTGCCTGTAAGAAACTCGGTCTCTTGCCAGTTCTCCCGCCTCATGAACTTTCACACTCAAGGAGTCACTTATATCCTGTGCCCATCTTCGTGTCGGTCAGCCTCTGCCCCTCCTTCCTGGTACCATGCCTTCTGCTATAATTTTTTCCAATCCGTCGTGGGGCTTGATATGACCAAAATATTTCAGCTTTCGAGAAAGGATGCTGTTTATTAGCCAATCTTCCTTGATGTTCAGATCTTTTAAGATGTCAATATTTCTCATCTTCTTTGTCCAAGATATTCTGAGAATCTTTCTATAGCATTTCAGCTCAAAAGCCCCTATTCTCTTTCTTAAGGACTGAGTGATAGTCCACGACTCACATCCGTATGTAGCCACAGGGAAGATGCATGCTCTTAAAATTCTAATTTTTATCACCTTGCTGGTGCTTAACCATAGACTTTTAAGGCTGTTCAATCTTTGCATTGCTATGGCCATCCTCCTTTTAATTTGTGTCAAACAGTCTCCATTGTTGTTTATTATAGAGCCTAGATATTCAAAGTTTGTGACATTTTCAATTTCTTCATCATTTATTGTTATTTTTGGGTGACAGCCAGTTTTATCTGTGGACGTTATTTTCGTTTTCTTCAATTTCAGGGACAGATTTTGATCTTCACTGTGCTTTTGGACAGACAATATTAAATTGTCTATTCCCTTTACGCTGTTCGAAAGGAGGACTGTGTCATCTGCGTAGCAGAGTTCCGCTGGATATACTAATATTAAAAATAAAAGAAAAAAATTAAAGATTTTGGAACTATTTGAAAAAGAACAAAATACAAACTTCTGTACGATATCTCACAAAGATGCCAGATAAAGTTATACAACCCATAGTAAGATAGATCCACTTAAAAAAGAATTGGAAAGTATGTTAGAAAAAAAGATAAAAAAAAGATAATTTTAAGCAATACCATATTTGTCTGACATTTCCATTACATGTTTGGTCAGGGATATCACAGGTAGTTGTAATTTTCACACGGGCGTCCAAACTTATTACCCAGAGACAAGGGGAAATTACTAGAAGTACACGAGAAAAAATCCCAGCCTTTACCGGGGCGTGAACCCGGGACCTCCAGCACTTGAGGTGGACGCCATGCCTCAAGACCTCACAGTCCCTCTCCAATGTTATGTTATAAACCTCTGCCCAATATGTGACGCAATATATTGTTATTTTGAAGCCCCTACCTAGCTGAAGTCGGTGGACCTTATATAACCTAACAGTTGAACGGGGTTTCCGGGACTTTTACCCAGGTGATTCTCATCTGAATAGTGCCACTTTGTGTCACCGGGTGTTTTGAGGTTGTTGTTTGGTCCTAGTGGGGTTGAACATCACTCACTTATCAGACTCCAAACATTATTATGTTATACTTTCTTCAGCAACAGTTTCAGTTCCCACTGAATGAATACTGCCCATAGTTGTAATGAAAAGTCTGTGCACATGACACTTCAAGCCCCAGTTGCATGGATTAATGGCAGTGATACATAAAACAGTGACACCCATATGATCAAGGAATTTGTGATACTGAATGTGTGTAATTTCAGGCAAAATGGAACTACGAGGGTCACTTGAAGACCGCCTTGAACAGCTGGACAAGAGAGAGACAGAACTCTTAGATGAGGTGACAAGACTTAGGACAGTGGTGAAAAAAAGCAGAGAGGACAATAAAAGGATACATGAGTATGTTATGTCCACTTTTTTTTTTTTTTTTTAATTGCGGCTGCTATTACTACTAACATGAAAACTTTACACATTATAACTGAAGATCACATATCATTTTGGCAGAATTTTGTCTTTTAAGTAATTACTTATACAATTAAGGGATTTCATCTGTCTTGAAAAGCAGATTTTAGAAAATCACTTTGAATGCTGTTGTTGAAATCACTCACAAATTTATTCACTATTAATGAGGTTTTTAAACTGCTACTTCTAATTATTATAGTCCATTCCAAGTAGTGCTGCTTGATCTTGTCTGTCCACAGAATTCCTAGTTCTTCTTCGTGTTCTCTGGCTGTAAACTCCAGTGGAATGTTGTGGTTGTTCTTCCACTTCTGGACTTTAGTCTTGTTCCAGAACCTGAGTTTAGCATGTACATCAGTTTTACAGATCTGACTCATTTGTATGCAGACTATTGGTTCCTTGCCTCTCAGGCAGATGCACTCTCACTGCAAAGGAAGCTCTCAGTTAATCAAATAACATGCTTTTGGCTAGGGGGTCTGTTTTTGTTTTCTGCACATGCAGGGTTTTGTTTTTTGATCCGTGAGCTTTTTTTTTTTTTTAGAATGCAATACTGGGCTGATATAGCTTAGTTCATTCTCACTTGATGCATGAGACAAAGGTTTCTTGAGATTAATGGGCAGCAGCAGTGTCCACAGGGATTGTTAGACCCAGGTGTGACCGGCCATTAAACATCAGTTGCTTTCAGTTTGTCCTACTGTATAGACATGTTGTTCAAGTCCAATGGTTGAATAGACTGTGTTTTAACAATGTTTTATTCTGTGGAATTCCTGTCAACCGTCTTGGATGATTGTGGTGTAACGTGAACTGGACTTTTGGGAATTCTGTCAGTAATGTTTAGAATGGACTTGTGTCAGCCATGTGTTATGGGGTCAGCAGTGTTGCTATGGGACACATGGTTGATGGGTATGGAAGGTGCCGGAGGACCATGTGTGTTAAACAACATGTAGTTGTGATGGTGAGGGAAGTTGGGGGGGGGGGGGGGGTGAGTGTTCATTGGAGACTGATGGACTGGATGTTAGTCAGTGATACTTTTTACTGAGTGCCTGGGAAAGCAGATGAGAGGTCTGGAGTCTTCACCAAGAAGTGCATCTATCTTGAATCCCATGTGGTGGCCGGGTCGTTTAGAGAACAAACTGCTGGTGGATTATAACTGCAAATCACATAGGTGTATCTGTGCTGTTGGGTGTGAGTTGTTCATGGATGGCACCTGGGACATAGCTCGGTGGGGTGTTTTGTCCATGTCTAGAGGGACTGCTGATGTGAGTATTGGGAAGGCAGTAGAAGACAGTGTGCCATCAATCCCCATTTCATCCTCGTCATTGTGTTCGTCCACAATAAAGAGACTGATTGCACTAGAAAGATTACGTTTGGCATGGTGTATTGTGTTAGCGTACTCGTAGACATGTCAATGGTTACTTAAAGACATGTTGGCTTGTTGCGTGTGCCTTGATTGTTGTGGTGCTCTTGTTTGGATTGGCCCTCCATTACACCAGTTATAATCACTATCAGCATGAGCCGTGCCAAGGAGAGTGGGCAGCATGATTAGTGGATAGAGAAAATCCAGTGTGTAGGTGAGAGGACTGACATTATAATCATACATTAAAGTATAACCCCCTAGAAACTTGGCAAGCATATGGTACAACCCCACGCATTATACCTCTGTGTGTGCATGCATGCATGAGTGTGCGAGTGCATGGGAACTATCATTGTGTATATTCCAAATTATTAATGAAAAGATGTTGTGTTGTATTTATCTTTCACAGTACAACATCCCTTCCACCCACACCAAGACGCAGACAAAGGTAGGGTATTTGTGTTCTGAACCTACCTTGTACACAAAAAGCTTTGTGATTACATTTCTCTTTTCTTTCCTTGTCGCACTAAGCAACTACTGCAGTGGAAATTATGGTTGGATGTATGTCAGAACTTTAGTAGTTTACTTAATGGTTCCAGCAGGACAATGTGTATATTTTGTTGTTGGCACTTTTTCTTCTTTTCAGACAATAGTGTTATATTGTTCTGTGCTTGTGAATCAAAGCCCATGAAGTTAGCAAGTGTGACTAGCAAACACTGAATGGATACCCATGCCTGCTGCTTTAGATGTTAAAATTACAGTCCATATCACACTTGATAGAAGCTGCAGAGAGCAGAACCCTGGAATACTATATACAGTGGTCAGAGCTGTGACTGACAAAAACAAAGATAAAGCTGATACTGTAGTGTGCACATTAAGATCAGTAATTTGGGACAAGTAAAGTGCATAGGCATTCACAGAGAGCTAAAGAGGGAAAAACCAGTAAGGAGACGAATGGCAACTTTGCTTGCTGTTACAACTAGTAGCCTTACAATGGAAATGATGGTTGTAACAAGGGCACTAGAATGGCTGGGTGCTCAAGAGTTACACACCCATGCATACTTAGTGACTCGGTGAATATGCTTGAGAAAATTCAGACATGATTCATCAGACAAGAATGGATTGAATCACGGCTCTCCTTTCAACTACGGCCGGTAGACAACAGTAGACGGCCGGTTAGTCAGAGTTCTGTCCCCTGGCTGCAGTGCAATTACGGACTGGAGAAGGCACGAATCAAAAAAACAAAGTGAGGTCCACATGCCTGGCAGAACCCGCGCTGCGACTCAAATTAGCGACCGCTTTCAATTACCGCTTCTTGTGACGCATTGCGGAGTGGACTAGAGGGAAGGAAGCAAGTGACATGTGTGTTGGCGATAGACAGTGTGCAGTGCCCTACTGTCATCATACGGTTTGGGTTAGGGGTAGGGTTAGGGTTTGGGTTGCTACATTGAGTTTCTGGGAAGATGAGATGCGGCGACACTAACCGTAACGTTAACCCAAACCCTAACTCTAACCCTAAACCTAACCTAAACCCTACCTCTAACGCTAACCCTAACCCTAACCCTAACCCTAACCCAAACCCTAACCGTAAGATGACAGCAGGTCACTGCACGCTGTCTATCGCCAAAACATAGTAATTATGTCATTTGTTTCGTTCCCTCTTTTCCACTCCGTAATAGCAGCCAGGGGACAGAACTCTGACTAACCGGCCGTCAACTGTTGTCTACCGGCCGTAGTTGATAGGAGAGCCTGAATCGCTAAGCACTTCACGAATGGCTTGCCTAACTTTTATCTTTGTGCCTCATGTGATGGTTCGTGGCAATGTGTGTGCACATTATCTTGCAGATACTGCAGTTGCTATGGCAGTCCTGTACTGGACAGAAGCGATGTTATCAGTGCCATGCTCAGCATGTATCGCAAAGAGGAAGAAATACTGACATCCTAAAAGAATTGAACACCAAGGTAGATTGGCTAGTAAACAGTATCTTGTCTTGCAAACTGAAATGTTTTGGCCATTCCAAGCAAAGATGGGCACAGGACATGATAGGTGGGAAAGTAAATGAGGCTGGGGGAGCTGGCGAGAGAAACGGTTTCTATCACGCAGACCGTGATGAGAGTGACATTCTGCAAAGGACTTGCTATATGATGATGATGATGAAAATGATAAGAAGAAGGTTGTATAGTTTAAAATTTGCAAAATTATGAAAGGTAAAGCTGTCCCACAGCAGATAGAGCCATTGGGTGAGAACTGTTTCTTTTTCTTCTGCTTTTCTAACCCTCAGTGGAGCATAGGCCCTCAATTAACTCATGCCAAGTCGTTCTGTTTTTTGCTTTCCCATGCAGCTCTTTCCATGTCCTTCCCCACTTTTTAAATTTCACTCTCTAGCTCCCTTCTCCACGTGTTTTTAATGTTTCCTTTATTTCTATGCCCCTGTGGGCTCTAATGCAAAGCCATTCTAGTTATAAGGAAGTGTTTGGTCTTCACATATTCATGGTTCTGACTTGGAGGTCATGGCAGTGACCAAAGCAGTAACATAATTGGAGACTCAGACTTTCACCTGTGCATGCTTTCTCAGTGATTCCGTGAGTATGCTCTGGAAGATAGAGATGGGCTGGGTCCGAAGACAGTGGTTGGCATCTTTAAGGCAGTCAATGCTGACAAAGATCAGTTTTATTTTCGTGCCAAGGCACACAGGCATGCAGTGAAATAAGTAAGCTGGAGGGCTTGTAGGTAAGGCTACTGTGAAGGGCAGATAAGTTAGGGACCAGGCTGATACACTGAATGTTCTATGAGAAGTAAGAGGTTTGCAAGAATCAAGTGATGACTGTGAATCTGCAGCTATGACTACAATGAAAGAACAGTGAGTTAAAAGGGGTGTGGCCAGACAAGAGCACTTTGCAAGAAGGCAAAGATGAATAAGAAACCAACACTGAACTGGTGTCATCAGCTGTTTCACACTGCAGGATTTACTGAAGAGGGGATTTGAGCCTTTATTGACTGAATATTTTGATATTCAATTAGGATAATTTGTCAGCTAAATAACTAACTATATTCATGGTGTAGCATGTGTGACTAGTTCCCATTATCATTGTTTTTTCTTACCAGAAAATTGTCTGTTATCTATTTTTATGAGGTTTCATTGATCGAAGAGTTGTACTTGGAGACAAGTAATTCTGCATCTGCTTAGAATTGAACCCAGGCTACCATTTGGAAGACTAGGGCACTAACAACATTGTCACTGCAGCTAAAATAGGCAAATCTAATAACTATTTTTGTGCCACTTCTGTGCTGCCAGTGTCAGACATGGACTCATAATAAACTAACAAATGCAGAATCATAAGAGAAATGAGGTGTAGAAGTTCTGACAGAGTATGAAATTAAAAATGAAGAAGTTAGAAGAGGGCTGTCAGAGAGAACCACACTGAAGAAGAAATGTATTGAACTCAGAGCAAGGGAAAGACAACCCAAAACACTGAATGACTGTATCAAAAACACTTAAGGAGATGAAGATCAACTTATGCAACACTTTAGAAATAGCACACAGGATATCCTTACACCTCCTAAGACTTTGATCAGGTAACTGGAGTAAAATAATAAGAAGAAGAATCTACAATAGAATTACAGACCTTTATAAAATTACCTATAATCGTTTTGAAATACCTAATATTTGTTATTTTAGTAAACTGGAAGATGACCGTGGTAGCAGACCCTCTAGTGCCAGGGTCTCGTCTAGGAGATCTAGTGCAATCACTCATGATGACGTGATTGACAGTGATAAAAGATACCAAGGACCTTCAGAAGAAGAGGTATTTCATTAGCAGTCTGGTACCTGAGTTTGTAATCATTCTCACTTTGTAATCATTCTCACTTTGTAATCATTCTCACGTTGTAATCATCTTCATGCATTTGCTGACATTTAAAAATTTTTTTAAAAATTTTTGAATATTTTTGTGTTAGTTTCCGCTATATTCTTTTTTAATAATTTAGGATTGTTATATTGAGATCTTTCCCCTTTGTTCTTATATATTGTTTTCATGAGTTTCTCTAATTGTTTACGCTGCTTTCAAACTTGCCACATTCACATATTCTTAAAAGTTCTTCAGTTTGCTGGATTTTAAATATTTTTTTAAATAACACAGTGTGGAATATTGGTTTATACAATTCTAGTTTCTTCTTCTAGTTTTCCTTCTGCCTACCAGTGGTTTTCAAATAAGAAGGTCACAGGCCTATATAAAAGTTGTGGTGCAACATAATTCCTCCCTTCATCCACACAGCCTGGTTTCTCTCAGGTTGCTAACTGGCCAGACCCGGGATCTCATTACTGCGTGTAGAGGGCAGTATAGCTCAACATTCTGGAGTCATAGGGATTCCTGTCCGCACAAGCACATTTCTGAGTCTCCAGACATTATTTTCTTGTACGTATGACTGCATAGTCTGTTGTGTTCAGATCAAGTCTTCATGACTGTGTTCTGCATGGGAAGTTTTCCAATGGAAGCAGAAGTATTTCTTTTTCCCAGTGATCAACACTCCCAGGTCGACTGAGCCTGAAAATAGTACCAGGAAATTTGCTGGGCAGTAAATTCCCCTGGTCAGTGTATGTGGCTTAGGCACTGCAAATTTGCTTTGTAATTCTGAGGTATCCGGTTCAGTTCCAGCTGTGGGCAGTTTGACTGCAGACCACCTTGTGTTGATTTCGACAGGGTTACTGAGAGCCAGTCCTCAGAAAGAAATGGCAGGCTGCTGAACACAGAATTCTTTGGTAAATACTAAAACAGCCAATAGATGTTGGGTTTGGCACTGAACGTCCTATAAAGAATATGCAACTAATTTAAGTGCCACTGATGTGATTGATACTTACTACACCATTCATCAAGTGTCATATGTTAGTTTAAAACAGATGGGGTTAGCATTATATACCTTATTTTTTAATGTTGTGTAATCGTGCCCAGTGCATTCTTGACTTGCCATAGATACTGTATCAGAAGGTTGTATGGAAACAGATATGTTTTTCTTGTTGCATAACAGTGGAGATAAAAGAAGAAATGGGTGCATAAATGTTTTTTTTTTTTTTTTATCTTTTCCCTTTCTAGGATTGCAGTCTGTATTATTATTAGGGAAGAAAATCAAACAGGTGCAAATTTTGGAAACCCTGTTCAACCTTATAGCCATATAGCACAGTTATACTTAGACACCACAAAATGATTCTGAAGTAACCTGTTGTCCATTGTGGGCGGGTGTTGTGATTTAATGGTGTACTTGAATCTGGAAATTTACCTGGTGCTGTCTCGAGGTAGGTGTTGTTGAATGCTGACATGAGATACTGTTGCCAGACATTGGTTCATTATGCTTGATTCATTATGGTGATTCTGGCACTCCTCCAGAGAGGTCAACACACGTCCCATGCTCAGTGGAAGTTCTCGGGTGATTTGGAGACTTTCAAAAGGTGGTGCTGAAGATTTTCAAGACAAGGGTGAAACTGGGAAACTATTACCCAAACTCCAAACTAGGCAACTGGTGTGAGGTAACAATGCAGTGGATACCACCCCACTGTGGAGTTCCCGAAAATGAAAGAGCTTATAAACTATCAAAGGAAGGTGTAAATTAAGAAAAACCTGATGTAGAAGTCTTTTATGAACAGAAAAGAACAATCAAATCAATCAGAAAGCCACCAAAACTAGCTCAAGACAATTATAATTTTATGGACAGACCAGAGCAATTCATTATTCTATGCCTTAGAACAGGACACAGTCGACTTCACCACCACATGTACACAAAATTAAAGGTTGGCGAATCAGCCATGTGTAAATGTCGATTGGCACCTGAGACAACAGATCACACCCTCCAAGACTGTCCCAAATAAAACATATCAAGACAAAACCTTTGGCCAAGAGAAACACCAGAACAAGCCAAACTGTATGGGTCGCCGAGTGAATTACAACAGACAGTGGAGTTCATACTAGAGACAACATTGCAGATATATATAAACTATTTCAAAAGAAGAAGAAGAAGAAGAATGATGTAATGTACAGGTACCAGTCTCTAGTATGTGGCAGGTACCCCTTACTAGTCCATAATGTAAACCACTTTGCCATCATTTTTAAATTTTATTATCCTGGAGTACTAGGGTTTAATTCCTGCAGCGGACGGTGACAAAAAACTCTGTGTTCTCCTAGTTTTCTTACAGTAGTATGAGTATCGCACAATGAAAGAGACTAGAGCCTCACACATAATAGTTTCAAAACCAAGAGCGGTACACTGTAGCAACATTTTATTGTGGAAGTGACATCAGATTTTTTTCCCCCAACTTTTTCAGTCCCAGGTGTTTAGCATCAGTGATCCAAGGGGTTAGTAGAGAGAGACGTAAAAATCAGCACATCTCGCTGTATATTATATTGTTTTTATAGTGTGTCTTCAACTCCCTGCATTGGATACATACCTGTGTTTGATTTTTATGTAATAATCTAAATATATTTCTTAATTATTTTGTAATAATCAGGTGAATGCATTCAGAGAAAACAGAGCAGCCAAGAAACTGCAGCATGGCTGGCTGGATTACAAGACACGTCGATATGATGAAGAAATGGATGATGTAAGCATTTTAGCTCATATTGTACCATAAAACTTATCAAGTACTAATTTTTTACTTTATGCTACTAGTGCCAGATGTGGTTACTCACAATAAACCAGAAAAAAATGTCAGTAACTATGGAAGTCAAATGTCTGAGAAGTGACCAGAAGAGATACAATTAGGAATGAGGTCATAAGAGAAAAAAGTCAGCACATAACTAATTATAAATTATATAAAAATACAGCAATTGAAATGGTTTGTCCACTTAAAGATAATGTCTTGTGATGTCATACCATACAAGGCATACAGCGAAAGAGGAGAGATGTAAAGCAAGACAATAAGATAAAAAAATGACATCAAAGAAACTCTGTGACTGCACAATGTGTCTATGGTCAACAATGCTAGAAAAGCAAGTAGCAGAACCTTATATCTGAGTCAACACCTGAAGTTTTCAAAGAGGAAGTGAAGAAAAGGAATTGATTAATCTCTAAACCACATACATTTCTGAAGTCCTTATATCCAGAACTATCATTTACCAGATGTAACCAGAACTATCCTTTACCAGATGTAAACAGAACTATCCTTTACCAGATTTAACCAGAACTATCCTTTACCAGATGTAAACAGAACTATCCTTTACCAGATGTAACCAGAACTATCCTTTACCAGATGTAAACAGAACTATCCTTTACCAGATGTAACCAGAACTATCCTTTACCAGATGTAAACAGAACTATCCTTTACCAGAAGTAACCAGGACTATCCTTTACCAGATGTAAACAGAACTATCATTTACCAGATGTAAACAGAACTATCCTTTACCAGATGTAACCAGAACTATCATTTACAAGATGTAAACAGAACTATCATTTACCAGATGTAAACAGAACTATCATTTACCAGATGTAAATAGAACTATCCTTTACCAGATTTAACCAGAACTATCCTTTACCAGATGTAACCAGAACTATCCTTTACCAGATGTAAACAGAACTATAATTTACCAGATGTAAACAGAACTATCATTTACCACATACATCATCAACTGACTATCATGTAAAGTTTTTTTTTCCGGCTAAGGTTGTTGTCACATGACACGCCTGTCGCATGTCTTTATTAGGGTTTCTCCTAGTAATCAAAGACACTCTGAAGTGACTTTATATTAGATGGTGGCTCGCATTTGTGCTCCGTAGGTCCAATAACTATCCAACATCACTTCTGGGGTGAGGCGACTTAAATTATGATTCCCACTGCAATAAAAGTCAATAGTGTATTTGAATTGATAAAGTACAGCTCGTTTACAGTGTAACGCTAATTCGCACCCTTTTTTCAAAGAGATGACTCCTGCAAAGCAGGAGGGGAGAGATGATCATTTCACAGACTTTTGAAGTGGTTTATAGTTAGCTCAGATGCTTGCCTACCAGCCTGAAGGTCGTTCTGTATTTTTGTTAATAATTGAATATAGCTCCCAATGACCTTGATTTAAATTAATACCAGGAAATATTCTGGGAAATAAAGGCACCTGTCTGTCTGTCTGTCTGTCTGTCTGTCTGTCTGTCTGTCTGTCTGTCTGTCTGTCTGTCTGTCTGTCTGTCTGTCTGTCTGTCTGTCTGTCTGTCTGTCTGTCTGTCTGTCTGTCTGTCTGTCTGTCTGTCTGTCTGTCTGTCTGTCTGTCTGTCTGTCTGTCTGTCTGTCTGTCTGTCTGTCTGTTGTCTTTCTCTGCTTAATGCTGTAAAGCATCACATGCATGGCTAATGATCGGTTTCCAGGTTTGTATGCGCTCGTTAGCTTGATACATGGGGATATTGTTTATTTCAGCAAGTTGTTAACTCCATCTATCCATGTTCATCTTGGCCATCCTCTATCTTGATTTTTCCATTCTCATGTTGTACGCTCTTGCAACTGATGATGCTGGGCTCATTCTGACCAGGTGGCCAAACCATTTCAGTCTTTATTTTTCAAAAAACATCTTATTTCGCACACAATTAGTTTCCACTCTTGTTAGTTTGTTAATACCCAACATCTTAACATGCTTAAAATTACATTTTTTTCTGTGTCCTCCAGGCTGCATTCACAATTCAAGAAGCCCTGAAAGGCACACATGCCAGACGTCAGAGACTGAAGAACTGGACTTCAGACGACTATGACTCCAGTTCCACAGTTACAGATGACGGTGTATACCTGATCCAGTCCAGCCTTAAAGGGCACAGAAGTCGAAAGCAGCATCTGCAGAAGTGGAGAAATCAGTAAGCTGGTTTTTACTTGTATTTCTAGACAAAGATAAATCGTAAAGCACTGTTTAATCTGTTGTTCAGTTTTGATGTTGCAGGGTCAGTTTTAATGGTTGGTGGGCTATAACAACTGTTCTTATGTCATTCATTTGGTGATATAAGAGTCATATCATGGAAAAGATTGAGGCTTCTAATATTCCCAAAGACAGCAGTGGATGGACTGTGAAGATGGCAATCAATTTTTTATTGATCCGTTGTTAAAAATATAACATTCTAGGTGTACAATTTTGGTCAAGAAATGTCACTTAAGTAAATGCTGAATTTTAGAAAATTGAGCTGTAGATTTAAGACATTAAGCGCTTCATTGTCTGTTCTTTGAGACTTTTAAATTTTATTTGAATGTACTTGGATATCTAAAACTAAGGTATGACTCAGTTACAGGTACATGGTGGGACTTTATATAGTCTAGGCCCAGGTAATAGTGTGCTGTAACCAAACTTTATTTGTCATTAGGCCCATACATTGGTAGGCGACTTATTTGGCAGGTGTGGGTTTGACTCAGAATGTTTAACTCTTGAGTCCCAAGGAACGCATCACGCGCTAATTGGTTACTACCTGGCGGCCCAATCAGCGCGTGACGTGTGACGGTTTTTAATTTACCACTTATTGGTAATTACACACGACCCGCTCAATTTAAACTTCCTTTCCGGTTCTCAAGTGTGTAGTGAACACATGTGGAGTGCATTCGTTTGGGTCTGGTGAGTTTTTAACGCTTTAAATCGATATTTGTGTGATCTACTACGTTTCCAAACAATCTTCTGAAAACAATATGTCCGATCAGTCATCGTCTTCACGCCCAGCAAAGCGATTTACTGCTTTAGAAGCATCAAATTTGATAAAACAGTAGATCGATCAAAGTAATGTGGAGTTGGATAATGAAAGTAGCGACGTGGAATTTCCCCAAACCGTTGAAGAGTCAAGTTTTGATGAGGAACGTGTGCGTAATTTACCTCCTGCTAAGAGGAAAAAACTGACTAATTCTGCCATGGCAACACAAGAGAATAGTGGTGCTGACACACCTGGTAATGCGACACCAGCTAGTCCAAATGTCAGCGCTTCTAGTACTACTATCCATGTTATCTAAAACCATAGATATATATCTATGAACAGATTGACATGTTTACAGTGCCTTTACAGTTTTTTCTATGTGAGGAATTCAATTGTTTTTAGAAAAGTCACTGTTTGTGCCACTGGAGAATATATTTTGACGTGTTATGGTAGTGTTATTAAAATTGCTATGGAACAACAACTATTGCACATTTTGCTTTAATATTGGCTGTTCATACTTATAAGTGGTGTACCTTCCTTTATGATGCATTTTGGATATACTATATCAAGAATTTTGGGATCAGCTTCTGGGTAAGTGGAAAAAACTTGTTCATAATTTACTCACCTCTCAAACTAAGTCACTGTTTTCTCTACTAAATACTAACTAACAGTATAATTGTTTGTTGTAGCAGTATGCTAATAATAATCCTTATCCATTTATGTTTATTTTCATGAATGATATGTGTATGTTGGACATCAGCTGCAGTTGTGTGGTTTGTTTTAAAGTGCTGCATTTGTTAAAAGTCAAAATCATATTCCCCCCCCCCCCTCCCCTCTTGGGACTCTGATGCAAAACCCCCTGGGACTCAAAGAGTTAACTAAAACTTCAGCTTGTACACCACAGTTTACAATAATAACATCTTGAAACTGCAGCGGTGAAAGTTACCACTGGAGTACAGCTGATTAATAAAGTTGGATGGAGCACAAAGAATTAAGCAAAAACCAGTAAAAACCAACAAACTCATGGGGAGTTGTTTGGTATTGAAGAAGTTTATTTTCTTCTTCTTTCTTTTCTCTACTTTTAGACTGCCTCACAGTGTCAAGGCAGGAAGAGATCTCTGGAACTGGCTGTTCTGTTTGCTTCATATAAAGTACTTTTTAGAGTCTCTGATATTTCTGCAGTCCATCTTCTGCATGGTCGACCTCTGGCTCTGTTACAGCTGTATCTGTATAACATCACTTTCTCTGGTACCCTGTCTGATGCCAATCTTGTGATATGGCCAAACCATTTTATTTGTTGTCTGCCTATAAAGTTCAGAATTTGTTATGTGCTGACTCTCCTCCTGATATCGTTGTTCCTAAGTCGATCTTTCCTTGTTACACCTAGCATAGTATGTAAACATTTCATTTCTGTCATGTCTATTTTCCTGTTGTCTTTTGAAGAAAGTGTCCATCTATCTATTTACATAATTTTTTTTCAGGCATAATGGCAGTGATGACAATGATGATGAAATTCCAGCAAGTCCTGGAATAAGAAGACCGTCTACCACCCAGAGATCTCCATCAGTCCAAATGCAGAAATCACCACGACGACTGTCTTCAGGGTCAGTGTCATTTGGCAGACCTCCATCTGCTCAGCGACCCAGTTCTGCTTCTTCCTCTAAAGTAAGTTTATCTTTAGCATAGACTGCTAACATTAATCATACATTATTTGCCACTAATTGTTTTTCATGTATTATTATGCATTATTATATTCATCAAGTCAGCTACCTTCACTGCCATCCTTTTTGGATCTTTCATTTAGCAGTAAGTAAGTAGCGGACCCTTTTTCACAAAAGTGGTTATTGGGCACACAAAGACCAGTCATTACTCGATGGCTGATGCGTTCTTCATTATGCCAGCCACATATTTTTCCCATAATTTTTTCTTGTATTCATTTTTGGCTGGGTTGACCTTGGAGCCAAAGTCAGTGAGAAAAAAGTAAAGGACCCTTTTCCACGCCTTAAGGCGTATAGGGCAAATAGGGCTAGACCTATATTTTTATAGACCAATCGGCACAAGATGGGTGATGTGGTCAGTATCAGGCCGGCCGCCTTCACTTTCCCGGGACTGCACCCGGTACCAACTCAAGGGTCGACCTGGGAGCCAAGGTCATTTTTGAAAAAAATCAGGCTCCGCCAGGGAGCGAACCCATGACCTTCCGATCCGCGGCGAGCGTCTAGCCGTCGACCACTCCCTGGTGACTTCACGGGGCAAATAGGGCTAGACCATATTTTATAGACTAATCGAAATCTGGTGGGTGATGTGGTCTGCATCATGCGGGCCACCTTAACTTCACAGGATTACACCTGATACCCACTCAAACTAGGTCGACCTGGGAGACAGGGTTATTTTGTAAGAAAGCCCGGTTCCATTGGGACGAGAACCAAGGACCTTTCGATCTACAGGCAAGCGTCTGCTGCTACACCATGGCAACTCCTCTAAGTCAGTTATCAAAATAAAATCAAAATATCAGATTTTTATCTTTGTCCTTTGGCTGGCTGTCAAGCATCTAGGCATTGTGCTACCACAGCTCCCACAATCTTCACTCATAACTGATTACCTTTTCATTGTCTCTTGCACGTTCACAAATTGTAAAATCCAGTGAAAAATTGTGATTGTCTACTCATGGACTTTGTCTTGACCCAGAAGTAAATTTTAATGCACATCTATTTTAATGATCAGGCTTATTTATATGCACACTGTTTGTTCCTTGCCTGTCCAACCGAAACACTCCTATCATATTCTTATTGGAAGGGGGAAGGGGGGGGCCCTGGACCCACATTTGGAAAAATTTATTACAAATTATCATCATCATCATCATGTAGCAGGTCCTTTGCAGAACGTCGCTCTAATCACAGTCAGCCTGAAAGAAACTCCGTCTCTTGTGTACTTTCATACTCAAGGAGTCACTTATATCCTGTGCCCATCTTCGTTTTGGTGATTACCATTATAGTAAATTAAATTATCATTTTCCTTGAGTGAGTTCTGAGGCACTATGTTTGAAAAAAAAAAAAGAATAGACCCACTGTCCCCTAACAGTCTGTCATAAAAAAAAATGACTACTTAGAAGTTACTGAAATCAGATTTGTTGGGCTTTGAAAGGTACAGATATTGCAGTCTCACTACAGACAAAAACCAAGCCTGCCACCAGCCCTTATAAGGACACATGCAAAAGAAGAAGAGGAAGATTACCATTTCGATTCCTCATTGTTTTCTCCTAATCCTATTCAAACCAAGTATTTTTCAAATTTGAAATTTGTTGCATGCTGAAATAAACTGTCAGTTAATCCTTGCACCTACTTCTTCATCCATCCCATAATTTCACATGTGGTTAAAAGTTTAAGTTAAAGTCAAGAGGATCGACTTCATTGCACTTCATTGCAAATTTCTTGCTTTCATATTGATCTTGGCGGCGTCGTGGCTAAGGCATTGCGAGTCCAACGTACCGCGATCGAAACCCACTGCGGGCTGCGTGGATTTTTATCGTGGTATGGGACGTCGCAGGTCGACCCAGCCTCAAATGGGTACCAGGATGGCTGTCCTGGGGAAGTAGAGACGGCCGGCATAATGCTGACCACAGTACCCACCAAGTGCCGATTGGCCTGTAAAAATATTGGTGCTCTTCCCATATGCCCGATGCGCCTAAAGGCGTGAAAAGGGATCTTTACTTTTTGCATATGATCTTGGTTGTCTGCAAGTTCCGTTGTCTTTTCTGCTGATTTTCCAGTCACAGTTTGTGTAGTCCTTAGTGCTCCATTGATGGAGACTAGTTAAAATGTCCGGTTGCATCTTTTTCCTTTCTTTTTTTCTTTTGAGCTTTCTGGCCACATTTCATATTGTATTTAGTACCTCTGAGGTCAAGAGCATAAGTGGAATGATGAAAATGGGAATTAGAGCTCTTCACATTAGGAGACCAATTAGGTGTATTTACAGGTTGAGAACTGTGTTTAAGGTAATTACACATGTATATGGAAGACTTCGATTGAATAAATTACGTACAAAATTATATTTCACTTTATGTGTCTTTATGGTGCTCCATTACTGAATTTTGTTGTTTCCTGTTTGTGCTTGTTCAACCATTTTAGCGTGGATCTATAAGCCACACCTTCAAGACAAAATATGTCTCTGGAACATCGCAAGCCACTGAGTCCGCTGATGATGATGATGACGTCATGTTTTAACCACTGACTGGATCATCACAAGGGTGGATTTTAACCATTGTACACAATGTTACTGTGTGTTAAGTTATTTGAAATATATTTGATTCATTGTTTCTGTAAAGACAAAAACAAAATAAATACTTTATTTCTAGGTTGTAAATTTTAAATTTATTCACATGAAATGAGTTGTAATTTTTGCTGTGAAAATGGATTACAAAGATACTAAACATGTTCTTTGATTTTACTTATATAATAGTAGATGAATCATCATTATTTTGGTCTTAGGGATCTTGAGGAACTTGAGAAGACTGTAAAACCTAGAACAATGAGAGTAAGAGCCTGTTAGGAGAAGAAAATTTGAATATCCTGACAGTGGCGTAGAAGACAATCAATGTTTGAACTTTTAGGAATATAGAGAACATATATTTGTAAATAAATGTGATCATTTGTTCTCCTTGCCATGGCACATAATGATGGTGATGAGTAATCAGTGCAAAATATATCTTAAATATTATCTTCATAAAATAGAACAAAATAAATAGATATGCACTGACTGCATCTATAGCTGTATGTGTATACTTTAATCTCTCTGGTCTGTTATACATAGTTAGTGTTTGTACGTTTTTTTCAACAGATCGGCATTACTATACATGGAATCATTCAGTCCATAAGTTCTCGGATCCCCTCCATAAATCCCGACATGTGTAGCGACTGATAACATGGCTATGTTTTGGTTTATTTTTCTTCAATGGCTTCCTGCATAGTGCTCTTGTTTGAATTTTTTTTTTTTTCTGTTCTTGACATAAGACCCTGGTTGCAGATTCAGTCATCACTTGGTTCTTGCAAACTTGTAACTTCTCATAGAGCATTCAGTATATCAACCTGTTTTATGCCTCATCTGCCCTCTTAACTTGTGTATTTCCTTGTACACCCAAATACCCTGTCATCAAAATCTTCTTCTTTTCTCAACATTCACCAGCTGTAAACTCCAGCCAAAAAAAAATTATGGTTGTTTGTCCACCTCCAGACTCTAGTTGTGTTCAGAACCAGAATGGTGCGTGCTCGTTCAATTTACAGATCTGGCTTATTTGTATACAGACCATTTGTTCCTTGCCTCTCAGGCTGATGCACTCCATCTGCAAAGGAAAGCCCCAATAAGTTGATGCAGACGACATGCTTTTTCGGAAGGTAGTGGGTTTTATTCTTGCTTCCTTGTTTTCCCCACAATGGGTCCAAGAACCCCACACGGTAAGATACAAAAATATCAGCCATAACCACCTCAGAGACACTAACTATTTTCTTAAGGTCCAATTCATCTTTGTCTTCCTGTACCATCTTTCATACATGGATAAGATACACTGTATATTTGCAGGTATGGAAAACACATGCACGTACATAAATTATAAAAAATTGATTCATATGATCTATCTACTAATGGAAAAACCTCTTGTGGATTTCTCCCTATGTTGGGAGAGAGGGTGGAGGGAAATAATAAGCATGTCATAAAAAGCGACTAATTAGAGGTTTGCTCAAAATCCAATTTGTTGGACTGAATGTTGCAGATTATAGCAGCTTAGCCATAAAACACAACACAAAGTCTCAGCTACCCTTTTGAGGGTGAACCCAAAAAAAAGAAGAACTAACAGAAGTTTTATCACCATGTCAGTCATCAGGGCTGTAAGATTGTATTGTTGGTAATATTGTAATTTGTTGGAATATTGTAACTTATTCTTAAAAAAGAATAAAGGAAAACTGTTTTATAATTGTAGTTGTATACAGATATATTAAGATAAACAGATTTCCATTGTTCCTGTAATTAGGTTTATACATGTTTTCATATGTCAGTTGTATCTTCTGATGTATAAATTTTTGACACTGATTTCTGTTTATACACCTTGGTCCTAAAATTGATTCTGTAGCGAAAGTAGTAAGAGTTAGTTTCAGAAAGTTCTCATAGTGTGTGTACTGTGTAGACATAGATAACAATTCACAGATTGGTACAAAGAAATGTATAGAAACCTGATACTGATGGGTGCAAAAAATGTATAAAAACCTAATACAGACCGGTACAAAGAAACGTCTAAAAATATAACATAGAGAGATACAGAGAAATAATATTGACAAATCATCATTTTGGCTGAAATAAAACAAACAAAATAGAATATGACTTGCCTTAAAACAAAATAACCAGACTGTAATTAACTCTGTCAAGTTTTTTGTGTGGTGATTTCTTAATCCGTTCTTCTTGTAACCTAGTCTTTGTCAGCTATCTTTTGAAGGTGCAATTTTCAAACGTTACCATGTTTTTAATACTGTTCTGTCTCATTTCTATATGTGTGTGTAAATCCTGTGATATTTTTCGCTCCAAGTGATAATATAATTTTTGAATTATCTTTTAAAACATTTCTGTCATACTTTTTAAACAGTAAAAATTGTTTACCTGATTATAAATAATTATATGTGTGTGAGTGTATATTTATACATATATTTATATATACATACACATGCAAATACATATACACACACACATTTTGCTAATTAAACCAAATAGACCAGTTTCTTTTGGGGTATTTTGTATATTTCTTTAATGAAAGAAAGTATGCATATATTTTTATGTCATCTGAAATCAGTCTTTGATTTTAACTGTCCATTTCACCTATTTGGAAACGTTTTATGTTGTATGATTAATAAATGGGACTCGCAGTGGCATTGGCGGCCAGACATCTAACTGCGGATCGGAAGGTCATGGGTTCACGTCCTTATGGGGCCAGACTTTTTTGCAGTTGATTCCCAGGTTGACCCAGCCTTGAGTGGGTACCAGGTGCAGTCCTGGGAAGTAAAGGTGGCTGGCGTGATGCTTACCACATCACCCATTAAGTGCCAATTAGTCTGTACAAATATAGGTCTAGCCCTACATTCCCAATACGCCTAAAGGCAAGAAAAAAAGGACCTTTACTTATTTATGGTAAATAATTGATCTCTAATCAGGGCTTTTTTTTTATTTCTGACGAAAAAAGTTACGGTACTTGCCACAAGAATACTTAAAAAAGGGCACTGGTACTCACCACAAAGTGTCTGTTACAGTCGCAATAATCATTATCAGTTTCCACTTCTGCCATTAAATGTTGTGGGGAGGAACACTTGGGGAGGAACGCTTGTAATGCACTGCTTGTTGGGCAGCAGTGCTTATTGTCATTCTTTTTTTCACGTAGAAGCTTTCACATGAGATCTTTTCATGTGTATAGCACCAGCATTGGTAGTTGTTATGGCTGTATTCTTACTAGATGACCAAACCATTTGATCTTCTGTTTCTCAATGAATATTTTTCCCACTGTCTTTTTGATAATATCATTTCCAACTCTTGGATGGTTAACTCTTTGAGTCCCAGAGAGTTTAGTATCAGTGACCCAAGGGATGTTAATGCATTTGGGAAATTTCAGAAGTGTTACACAGTAAAACAGACCACACTAATTCAACTGTCCTGCAACATACACGTATTGTATATCAAAGTGACAAGGAATTGTTGGGGATTAATATTAGAATACTGCCAGAAAATTAAATTGTGTTAGTAGTTAATTATTAGTAAATAATCAGATGGTATGTTTCCAGAAATTAGTAAACAGAAATAATAATTGTTCCACTTGCCACCATGGCACTCAAGGAAAATATATCCAAAATGAATCACAAATGAACATTAACTACTTAGTAATGTATAAATAAAATATAATCACAATCTTTTCATTAGATCTTGTTCCAGAGAAACTTTTAGAACATCATAATACAGCACCATTTTTTAGTAAAGAAAAATGACCTCGGAAAACAGTATTTTCGCACAAAAAACAAACTTCATGCAACACTCAGTTTGCCCGTGATTTTATAGTCTATGTTCTCAAATAAGGAAATGGCACTAGACATAACTGATACTGAAAAATATTGCCTTTTTCATTAATATTTATTCTCTTTGTACTAGCTGACTTTGTTGTCATTGTAGGCTTTTGCGTGAGGTATATATCAGAGCTGTCCCTCATCAAAATGTGATTATATCAATGACTAAAACAAGTCTGCTTCATAACTTTCTTTGTCTAGTTCAGATACATTGATAAACATGTTTTATTTAAATATGAGGCTTCCAAAGTCATAAATCTTGTTGGCATGCATGAAAAAATCTGCTTGAAAGCCATACCGTTTTCACACAGACACTTAGTAACTAAGTAAAGCTAACAAACATGCTACATTTTAAGCTTTTAACCACATTTTCGAATATGCCCCGTGGTCGACACATGTAACATCAAACAGAAATAACAGAAAATACCTACCATTGAAAACTGCAGCTTTGTGTTGTTATACTGGCAAGTTGTAAATTAAAAACCTGAACGTCCACAGGCGCCACAGCCAGTTGGCTGCCTGGTTAGTAACCGATTTGTGCATGATGTTTTCCTTGGAACTCAAAGAGTTAAGTTGGTGTCTTTTCTCAGGCATCTGATTTCACAGGTGTTAATTTTATGTAGGTTAGCCTTTGATAATGTCCAAGTCTGGTACTGACAGCACAGTGTTGGTATGAATATGTTGTTTATAATCTGTTTCTTGGCACTCATACTTAAGTTTGGATATCCAAATAATGGTGTCAGTTGGTATTTTAGTGCACTGGTTCGTTGGCATCTTGTTTCTATTTCCCAGTCTCTTCTCCCGTCCTCCAAGAATATACTTCCTGATATTTAAATTCTGTAACTTGCTTCATACAAGTACCATTCAACTTTATATGTAGTGAACTGGGAATTCTACTGATCTGAATTATGTTTATTACAGTAACAATGAATAAATGAGGCAATGGAGAAAAAAATAGGCACCATTGTTGTTCATCGTTGTGTACCACCATTTAAAAAAAAGCCTCTGTGTGACCAACATTACAGCAGTCTTGTAAACTTGTAGATGATGGCTATTGAACACATGGTCTGTGGGCCAAATTAGCCTGCAGAGTCCTAGCAAGTGGCCCACGGAGGCCTAGCAACTGGCCCGCAAAT